GATATGCGCACTAAATTACTGTTAGGTGTCATGTTAGAATCAAGGTTTGAAAACTCTAGTCAGTATTATGGTCAGGAGTCAAGTTTTTTGAATAAACGGTCTATCCTTTTCCTGGTACCCATTAAAGACTATGAAGTTTCCAGTTCAACATTAGTACTTAATATCTGAAGACTGCTTAGGTTTGTTGTCCGTGGGAGAAACTGAAACATACAGCTATGTTAATAAAGCGGCTAAAATGAGCCTTCACTGAACAGCTTTGCCTTCTCTTTCTCATATCTTAATCAGTATTGTATCCTAATATGGAATAAAAACGGTTTTACTGGCGAATCATTATTTGATTTAATTACAGTACATAGTGCCTGCGCCCAATTTTATACCATTTCATATCGGATAGTTGACGTTTTTTATGAATTTCCTTCCTTAATAAAATATTTACATTTCTTTTACCTACTTTTTGTTCACAAAATTCAATGGTTCCACTTACAATTATTATAAATAGATAACAAGTAATACGAATAAGTGTATATTCAGGTTGAATCATGTCTGCCTGAAAGTCAAAATGAAAGTAATAAAAATCACAGAAACCAAAAGAATACCGGAAAAGAAGTAATAGGTTGCTTTCTGTAAAAGCATCTGAATCTTTTCAGCTAATTTTCATACAGCTTATATCATACAATGCAAAATGAAGAGTACAACAATAGTGCAGTCGATGAAAATGTGTGGAAATGCAACTTTCACAGTTGTCTGCAGGGACTCATTTGTCTAAGTTTCTAACATAATTCGGCTGTTATTCACGGCATGAAAAGCTGGTGTGAACTTTTATACAGCCTAGAACAACTTTCTCAGAAAGTTACTTCATATTTCGTCTAGGCCGGCCATCTCTGGTTCTTTACAGCCTAGTTATTATAACACTAGCCTGCATTGCAACTTATATGGAGCTAGTGAATGAACTGGTTGAGCTCAGTATTCACTTCACACTTCATACGCGTTGGCCAGTGATGAAGTTAGGTGATGTATTAGAATCAAGCGGATTTTAGTACAGGTTGCAAACTGGAGGTTCCATACAGTAACGTATTTTATACTGCTAAATGGCAATAAAACACTGGAATTCAATGCTTGTGGAATATGTATGTAAAGTAGTCTTAATTTGCTGAAGTCGAAATAGACTAGTTCAGACCTCAACAGACCTTCATTACTAGTCAGAAAACAGTGAAAATATTACTCATTTTCATTATTGTTAGTTCCCGTGTAGAACTCAGTGAAACCAACGGCTTACTTACTTTCGTTTATTAGTACCAATTATTGATGAAGTTTAAACCTTAAAAACTATGTTCCGTAGACGTCAAGAAATGTTATGCACACAAATATGATAACAATGAAAGGAGAGTAGGTAATACAAGTTCTAGAGATAAATCATCCTAAAGAGCATTGATCACTTTCTAGCGCTAACGATAGTTAAAGAACAAGCAAGAATTCAACATGTTCATTGTTGATTGTAATTCTGGGAATATCCATTAATGTCCTAAGCCACTGAGTTTAGTGGTCATGCTGACCCCATTCTAACAACTTTGTCAAACCAACAGACATAGACTACTATAAGTATCACCCCACAGTTACACATTGCTGGTTGACTAAATGTTTGCCTCTTCCACCCTGTCACAAGGCAAATACACGGTGAGTGGTAAGTAAGCCCTTTTGGGCCTGTTCCAAAGTGATACCATCTGGAAAAAGACTGTTTGCAGATATCGCTGAGCCTACAAGATGACTTAACTGGTGCATATTTCGGGATTTCACTCCTTTAAGAGTTGTGAGCTTTATTTTCAGACGTTAGTGGTATCAACAGTAGCATACACTGGCGTAGCATTCGATAAATTATTGGAATGCATATGCATCACACGTGCAACAGCAAGTGAGTACATGCGCTAGCTGCTGCCAATATTACTAGTTTACCACACTTTTTGACGGCAAGAGTTTTTGTAACTTGAATTTATTTCAGGTGGCTTTACTTACATTTAAGTGCTGCTAACACTCGTCTGTGCTTCTTGTTTTGTTCTTAGCTTAAGTCACAGGGAAAAGACTCCAGGTAGTGCAGGAGCTTTCTATCTACATAAGGCTGATTTTGGTAAAATTAGGATATGACCCTTGTGGAAATGAAATAGACAATCCTTGTTACTTTAAATGTGACCAACTGGTTCCTACTTATCACTCGCATGATTTTTCTCTAGATTTAGATCCCCGGCGTGTGCATTCGAGTCCATATCTAGAATTATCACACTTATCCAATCCACTTGACTGAGGCGATTAATTTAGCGTAATATGTCATCGTTAATAGGATCTGGGTTACAATTTGTTGAAGCACAGTCGGACATAACGAAGAGGTATCCCATCCTTAACCTTTTGCTTCTTAATTTGAATAATTCTAAGAGAGTGTCAATGGAGGACCGGTTGATTTGTGGAGCTTGGGACCAAGCTCATAGTATAACACCCTTATTTAGACCGGACACCAGTGCCAAAGTGTCTTGTAATAAACACACATGAAAATAATTTGGGAGCTGATTTGAAAGTTATTTGAACAACTTTCTCCGGGTCTTACATGTGAGGCTCAAATGTCCTTGCGTCCTCAGATACTCCACTTCATTTATGATATAGTCAAAGCGTTGAATTGTAATTCAAGCACTCAGATTTCAGCCAACAGTTAGTATTGTATTCGAATCTCACTCCACTGACTTTATTCTGGATGAATAGGTAATGTCAGCAGCTCTTACACGATATGCGTATCTCATAATGTGGCACACGAAAAATCAGTTCCAGATAACTGAGTTCCTGCCAACCGCAACACTACTCATAGTATGTCTTGGTGTTAACAATTCATTGTCACTTGTTGGAGAAATAGATTTTATTTGCACTCCATTTACCTCATTCCACAACGTAAAACAACAGCCGGCTACTTCTGGAGACTGTATAATATTTTAGCGTTACTATCATCGATATTCTTCCAACATGTTTTTATCCTAGGAAGTATTACATGGTGAGAAATGTACCGTAGCACTTCCTAAACAGTTCATTAATAATTCTCATTAATACAGTCCGACAGCTTTTTTCAACTAACATTCTAACTTTCACTTTTAAGCTATTTATCAGACAACTGCATGGCGTGTTAGTAATACTACGTAACCATCGCAAGCCGAAAAGATTTATTCACCTTCAATGTTCATATTTCACTTCAGTACAGTAGGGTAACTCCTTAAGAACTTTCGAATTAACTATAAAAGTTTAACTGAATAACCGTCAAGAGTAGCTATCAGAAAAAATTTAATCCTCAATCTCTGTACTAACTATTTTTCCTTCTCGACGATTTCTGTGCAGTGGAAATGTAGAAATCCTAAGCCCAGTAGTTAGTTAACCTAATCACAAAAATATGACAAGAAATCCAGCATCATTAGTATGATTTCACAAAAAAAAACAGTCAAAAGTTCATTTATCTGCTCACACTCTCATGACAGTTTAATTAGTTTACGTGTGTATTTGTTTCTATGTATTTTTTGTACAAAGTCGAATTTGTTTTAATCTCATATATTAGCCTTCATCTACACCAATGCCGTATAAATCTTACCAGGGTGTTTAACTTCTACCTGGAAATAAATTTGTTCTCCCAGGTTACTTTACTTATTCGTCGTGTGTAGTATCAGTTAGCTTTGTCCTTATGATCTAATATCTATTGATACTTCTGTAGACGACTCTTACAAGTCAGTATCAGAACTACAGTTGAGCCTATAATGCTGAAAGGTCATCTGTTGCTTTAGAAGAAGTGAAGCTTTCGAAATATTTATTTTTATCGTAGTATGATATTTATTTATAGTGTATCAGTACGCAAAACGCCGAGGTCATTGTAATATGTTTCTACTTAAGGTTATTTAGTGAAAATAGGATATTTTTCAATAGTTTGGTTTGTAAGGATTAGTTTTGTTTTCACGAGTTGATCACGGATTGATATCAACTAGAGAACCATTGAAAACCACGGAGTACTTGAGAACTGTTTCATTCTAGTTTTGGAGTCATCGGCAGCTTGCCTTGTAACCGGAAGGTCTTGGGTTCGAACAATGGCAGTGAGTGCGTACTTCTGATGATTCCCAAACTAGGATGAAACAGCTGTCCATTCCTCCGGTGCTGGTTTTCAACGGTTCTCTAGCTGATATCAATCCGTGACCAACTCTTAAAAACAAAACTAACCCTCACAAACCAAACTATAGAAAATTAGTCTGATGCTCGCTAGTGACTTCCTACAGGATGGAGTTTCCTGGAGTTCTAGTGAGAAGTCGTAACCAGTAAGGTCCATCCAGATGTTACGTGTGATGATGGATGTTCCACCTACGACAATGGTTGGGGTTGCGCTAATTCACAAATTGGTAGAAGTTAGAATTCATGGGCTAGCCATTGAATCGAGTCCCAGTGGCTGAATGGTATACGAGCTTGCCATGTAACCGGTAGGTCCTGGGTTTCAAACAATGGCAGTGGATGCGTACTTCCGATGATTCAAAAACTAGGATGAAACAGCTGGCTGTCCAGTACTCCCTGGTTTTCAATGGTTTTCTAGCTGATATCAATCTGTAATCAACTCGTGAAAATAGGATAAATAAGTAAGTGGTATCGTTGACTTTCATGAGGCAGACAATTAATTCAGGAGACCTATGATTGCACTGTTTTGATCTCCATATTTATGTGTTTTCTTTAAGAATGGATTCAGTGATTCATTATAGATTTTTATTTGTCTCCCGAATCAACTTGCAAATAAAAAATACTGTAATTTAATGTTTCTCTTTTCCTTCTGTTTATAGGTCATTCAGTGTTTTCCATTCATCAGAAGTGAACTATAAAACATATATGTATCATTTCTGAAAGAGAAACTAAAGATCTGTATGAATATACATTGTTGTATCTGTAGGTTCCTTTTCTCTCATTCAAACACTTTACTTACAATAATCTTGAAGAGTAGATTACCAATGAAAGTGCAACTTATTTTAGTGTGTCTACTCGTTGAGTATGCTTCAACAACTCTTGAAAGTTTAATGCAAATTATTTCCATTAACTCAAAGAAGTATGATATGTATGGTTGGGAATATGTTGACTTATATGAAGATGATGCACAACACATACCGTTAGTTGAAGAAACACCGAAATTTATCCAAAGAATGATTAAAAACAACAACAACAACAATTGGAATAAACCTATACTAAAGAATAATGAGTTTCTTAGTCATCTGAATGCATCTAATTTACCATGGACATATAATAATTATCTTACAACTGTAATTTGTTATTTCAGAAATATTTTTATATCTTACCAGTCGATTAGGTATATTCTACTGCGTTGGCATGAAATCATCGATGAGTGTTATTCATATGTGAAAGGTAAAAATAAAGTAGTATTATTCAATTTTTTTAGATGAACACCTTAAACCGTTGTGTAGCATTCAGTTCGGTCAAAAAGCGTATTGTAGTAATGGCAGTATAAAGGTAAGGTAATATCTTCTGGTAGATTATGTAGTCCAGAAATTTTCTCAAAGTCTTGTAGGAAAAGTGAAACTGTTTCCTCTAACATCAGATGCATCTATTAATAATATGGCTAGTAAATATAAAATCACCTAATATATGTACAAAATTCATACTTTTTTCAGTTGAAAGTATTCTACTATCGAATTGTGCCTATCATATTAGAGCAATCCAAAAGGCAAATGATTCTGTTAAAGTATGTTTATATATATGCATAAATATTTTAATGCATCATTCTTGTGGTTAGCATTTTCCCAACTCATCCGCTTTTAGATTCTTATATGCAGAGGTTTTATCAAGGAATTCGCACCCAGTAAGCATCAGCATTTATCCTGTATTAATTAAAGTTAGGAATCGTTAACGGAAGCACTTAAGGAGATCACTGTCGCTGTAAACATGGATAGTTCAGTTATTTTATACAGGGTAAAAAAGTTGTCTGTAAGTTGTATTAGCTTTGCTGTTTTTTTTCCATGCATTGTCATAAAAATGAATTTCATGTTATTTTTTAACACTTTTTTTCTACTATGATCCACCTATCCGATTGTTTTTACTCTGTATCGACAGAAAACCGGCAATACTTTTCTCTTACAAAATACGTAAATGCATTGTAAAACCTAATGAACATAAAAATCACAATGAAACTTTCTGGCTTAGTCTGATAGTAATCTCATCCTGGACTTTGAGCCTCACAGACACTTTGCTTGATTAATGCATGGAAGGAACTCTCTGTGTGTAATATGAACTAGAGAAATGCTGATAAGCTGATAGGTCGAAATGATTCTGCTCATTCTAGTTTTTAATTAATCTCTAAAATAAGAATGAAATATTCAACAGAAAAACTATTTACTGTATCGCTACCTAAAAGACTAATTGCTACACCTTTTTATCGAAACAAACATATCACAACTTAGTGAATAATACTAGTATTATGGAACGAAGTTAAGTAGATGCAAAGCTGTAAGTTTGTTGACCGTGGTGAAATGCTAAGACTAAACGGCTTTGAATTCAGCTTATATGCATCCGAACGGTGTGCAACGTATGTCCTGAGTTATCTAAGTGAAGACAGCATCGATTGCCCGACCTTGATTATCGTCCATTTCTGCCAGAAGCATTTTATCTAACTCTCCTGATTTCAGAAAAAGGTAGCACCGATGCATTCAGTCCTCATTGCCTGAGTTAAATAACAGACAACTGATGAAGTTCAGAAGTTTTTGAACAGCTTCAGCAGTGAAACTCAACTTGACTAGAAGGAGTATATGCTAAGATCATTGAGAGTCCTTATCGTGTCCTATTGCTGGCTGAATCACCAAGGCATCCAGCATATCTCGTTATCTTTGACCGTGCTAAATAAATTGGTGAATGTGAAAAGTAACTAAAGGATTCCTGAGTATTTGTCCAAAGATACTAAATAACAACTACTTATAGCACAAACTCGATGATCTACAAACGAGAACCCACAGTCTAGCAGAAGCAGTGTCATAGACAGGAATTCAAGTAAACGTAGAGAAGAAAGAGGTGATGAAAATACCTAATCAACAAACACCAATCACTATCGCTGGGAGAAATTTGAAGGAATTCATCTTTTTCCCTTACCTAGGCAGTATCCTTTGAAATACAGCCGGCATGGATGAAGATGTCTAAGTCAAGATCGATAAAGCAATACAGACCTTCATTAATCTGAAGTCACTGTGGAAATCTGCACTCAGCATCAGAAACAGGATTACGATTTTCAGCACTAATGCGAAATCAGTGCTTCTATATGGTCCGGACACTCAGTGATTCACGAAGAGCATTTCCAACTGACTGCAGACTTTCATGAATAGTTGTCTTCGTTCGATAGTGAAGATCAGATGTCAAGGAAGGATTAACTACAAGGAACTCTGGGAACGAACCAACCAATAAGTTATCATAGAATAAATATGTAGAAAGAGGTGGAGATGGGAACGATGAGTCCGGCATCCGAAAGTGACATGCAGGAGATCATGTAAGCAAAAAATAAAAGCTTATGAGCAGTCATAGAGCCAATCAGAAAAGAATGCTGAGAACAGAGTGAAATGAATATGTGTTGCTGAAGCCCTATGTTCCAACTGGAACCCAAAGGAATAGTAATAAACACCAATAATGGCATTCGTTTGTAACTTAATTAGACAGAGTATACTTATAACGTTTATGGAATGCCGGCTGATAAAGAAGTCTCTAGAAGGAATCCCAAGTGAGGCCAAACTTCATGTAACAGAAGTCCTAATGAAATTTACCCATACGACTCAATATTAGTAAACATTCCCTGCTACCATTACGTCGGGCTTCCACATTGGATATAATGCAAAGCACTGATAACTACTACTACTACTCGGAAAGTTCTCAATATAAATGAATCAAATTATATGGTTCTGTATTGATAGTGTCAAACATATTGTGACTGCTCCTTTCCTGATTATTTACAATTACCCAATATTCTGTGTAAATGTTTTGGTTATTAGCGTAATCTGATCTCTCCATTGTAATGCCATCTTTCGGTATATAGAATGAAACCATATACAACAAAGTACTAGTTACCTTAACTAACTTTTGCCTAGTGTGACCAGATTAGATTAATAGCTAAATGTTAATAAAATATGCTTTATCAGAGTGAAGTGTATCTGTTGTTCCAATAACATAGTAGATTGCCGGTGTATTTCTAAAGAACTTCAAACAATAAATCACAACCAATTGTTTTATCCTGCTGTCGATCAAAGCTGTTTAATTAAACGCTTATATATATATATATATATATATATATATATATATATATATATATATATATATATATATAGAGAGAGAGAGAGAGAGAGAGAGAGAAAGTGCTAGAGATAGGCTTCCTGAATAAAGCTCGAACTGCAAATTGAAATACAATTTATGTGTATTTCATTACACACACTACTCGCCTAAGCTTCACAAAATACTGACCTTAGAAAGGTACACACTCTGAAACACTGACCAGTAGTAGTACAAGTTAAACCTGCAAGTATGTAGTTGATGAGTGTACTAAACCTTTAATAGAACACAGTTACCTGTAGGGTGCTACACTGAACCTGACATTAAAGGCAATTACAATAGTCAGCAAATGTACCAACCTCTTACAGATAAACGTAACAAAGTCAACAAAGCGAAGCCCAGACTCACTAACTGCTGGAAATCCGTTGTTTTTTTGTAATCACTTTTAATGTCGAACAATCGCTACGCTGCTAATGATACGTATACGTGACATCCCCTAAGTGCCATTAGAAATTGGATACATACACAAACCAATAGAGAAACTATCCTGGAGACTTTGAAACTAAGCCTCCCTACATGCCTAAATGTTTCTCACTAGTTATCCTCAAAATGATTCTATCTCAGCAAATCAAGTTAGCGAGCCGAAGAATACCTCAATAAATATTTTTCGAATAATTTGGAATGAAATTCGACAAAACTGAAAAACTTGCTATGAAAACGAAACGAAACACATGAGTATTGAACATAGTATAGATATTTTATGCATTTCAAGTGCTTGTGACAAACACAAACTAACAAACATTAAATTATATATATATATATACCATTGGAACTACATTGGGAGATATAAAACTGATAGGTAAATAAACTACGTTGAATCAATCATGTAAAACGCCACGTATGAGCGTTTTTTTAGGTCATCTTCAAATTGATAGAGGGAAAGCAGTATAAGACATTACAATTAAGATGAAATGCACCACGGTTAAATAAAATCACTTAAATAAAATATCAGTTATCAGAGAAGAAACTTGAATATATTAGGATCTGCAGACTAAATAATACTGGTAATAATAGTAATGGTAATGATAATAATGAAACTAGTTAAGATAATGGGATTGATAAAGGGTAGCTTTAAATGAAAGAATAATAATAACAACAAGAGGTAGAATAAAATATAGAACAACAAAAATAACGGTTAATAAGTAAGATGTATTACCACGATAGGATCAGTGTGACTACCATTTCCTCCTGCAAACAGAGACCAAGTTTATAAAATCCAATTGCACAATCCTCTACAATTGCAAGGATCTTCATATTTAAACAGACGTGAAGGTGTGATGTTAGCCGATGCATGGCAAATCCTGACTTATAAACAAAATAAAATTTGATATGTATGAACAAGTAGTCACACTTGGTCAAATTCCCGATTGTCTACGTCTTCTTATGGAGAGAATAACAAATCTGATGCTCACTAGTGACTGGCCCTATTCAGGCAGTTAACCTGGGGTTCTAGTGGGAAGCCATGACCAGTAGGGTACAGCAGGTCGAAGATGAGGCAGTAACTCATCGAAGAAGACATTGCGAAGTGGTCGCGCTATGTCGTGAACTGGCAGAAGTTAGAATTCAAGGACCATTGGATCGGGTCCCAGTGGCTCAATGGTCTACGAGCTCGCCTTGTAACCAGAAGGTCCTGGGTTCGAATCCCGGTGGGTGCGTACTGATGAGGAGTCCCAAACTAGGACGAAACGGCTGTCCAGTACTCCCTGGTTTTCCAATGGTTCTCTAACTGATGTCAGCTCATGATTAAATCCTCCATGCAATCAAATCTATAAAAATTAAATTATATTTATAAAAATGTCAATTATTTTGTAACTATCCGGTCAAATCTTGATCACAGCTCATATGAGAATAGCAAATGTTTTATGACTGTTCCACCCACACACACACATACACACACACCATTGTATCCTGCATATACTCCATATACACATATATTTTAACTTTCTATAGTTTTGGTTTGTAAGGATTAGTTATGTTTTACGGGTTGATCACGGATTGATATCAGTTAGAGAACCATTGAAAACCAGGGAGTACTGGACAGCTGCTGTTTCATCCTAGTTTGGGAATCATCGGCAGTACGCACCCACTGGGTTTCGAACCCAGGACCTTCCGGTTACAAGGCAAGCTGGTATACCATTCAGCCACTGGGACCCGATTCAATGGCTCGTGAATTCTAACTTCTACCAATTCGTGATTTAACATATATTTTGACAAAAGTAGACAAATTTTGAAAGTCTGAGGTCAAAAAGTTTTGATCATAGTTCATACAATTTTTGTTTTGTTTAGTATACCTATTGATTCATATTTAAAAATAAGAGATGTACTTTTATATAAACATACAATTCTATTTATTTATTTATTATACATATTGATAACTGTTGCATGACTCATGATTGGACAAAAAAATTTTAAAAAACAAGATGTGTCCCTTTATATATAAACTTTGTTATGTTAATTTCGATTAATTTCCCTGAAGAAGTTCGGACCAGATTGCCGAACGAAACGTTGGGATTAATCATTTCAATTTCGCTGAGATTTTACAAATATAACTTTATAAATGTCTACTTCTCACTCAGCGCTCAATTATTTTGCAACTATCCGGTCAAATCTTGATCACAGTTCGTATGGATCTTCATATTTGTTTGTCTGCTGATAACAGTGAATGACTTGACAGGGTCAAAATTATGTCTGCAGTCCACAAGTTGCTTTGTTATTGAATTTTTCGGTACTTTGACTGCAGTTGTTATCATCCCCTTTTTTGGTAAATGCTCTGCCATGCGAGTAGATAATCGCCCTTCCGCACGACCTATGTATTTGCTTCCATGAACACATTCAAGTTAAAATATACGTAGTTTGAAGTGTTGACAATTGGTGACCGGTCCTGGATTCCAATCCCGGTAGGTTTCGTACTGCTGAAGAGTCCCAAACTAGGACGAAACAGCTGTTCAGTACTTCCAGGTTTTCCAATGGTTCTCTAACTAATGTCAGCTCATGATGAAAACCTGTAAAGCTTTCTAAATATGGATCTGTCAACTGTACCATTTGTCCTCGTTACTAGAGAAACATCTAAAAATTTAATGATATCATTTCTCTTGAGTTCTTTTATGAAGTTAAGATTTGGATGCCATGAATTTAAATTTACCAATAAGTTATCCGCTTTCGATTTGGTTTCACAGACAATAAGCACATCTTGTATATAATTCCGTTTGTTGTATTCGTTGTTGTAAAAATACCGGCTTCTTGACCTGATGAGCATAAATCTGCAAGCAGTTTTCCCAAGAGGATTCCCATTGCAGCACCATCAACATGACGGTATAGACGACCATCGAATCGAAATAGGATATTTTTTAGTATATAAAAGCAACAATTTTCTCAGCCTCTTTGTTGGAATAGGTATTTTGTTAGCTTCTCTACATATGGAGTCACTAATTTCAAGGAATGGAATATTCGTAAATAGTGAAGTAACACCAAAAGCGACTGCGTGTTTACTGGTTAAACTGAGATCCTTAATTTTCTTGACAAACTGGAGTGAATCAGAGACAATGTATGTTCCAAAGCATTTTCACAAGGACTGCATGAATTCACATAGCCACAGTGTGCTAATTAGTGGTATGGTGAATGTGTAGTTTTGAGAGTATGGATTTTAGAGGCAGTCCTGAATTGTATATTTTTACACGCCCATATAATTTGAAGATCTGGAGTTGCTTAAAGTATATCACATTTCATAGGTAATTGTCTTTATTTGACAACTGTATTATCTTGACTACGAAGTCTTTATGCGATTGATCACTATTTCCATTATTCTCTTGTTTAAACGATAGTTCCGTCAACTAAATATACACAATTAAATATCTGTCGCCTGGATTCGGGCACTGTGACACGGTGATTCCATCATAAAACAATTTGACTTGATAAAACACAGTGATAAAGTATTATTTACTGATGACGTTTCAAGAACAGCTTATTGTTCATAATCATTTCGAAGTACTCATATAACTTTCAGATTTGGTTTATAAAGTCTTTTTTTGTTATCTTAGACTTAACTGGTAATATTTTCTATATTGGTGTTACATCGTTCCTATTGTAAGTGTTTGGTGTAGATTTGATCAACGTAAATTTTGTGATCAACTACTCCCCTCCCCCTCACCTAACAATATTGCTTTTTAGAACTGTAGTATTGTCCTAACCTGTTGTGTGATTGTGCGTTACAGAGTGCATTTCAGTTGCTGAGTTTTCCTCTGAGGTAGAAAGTCATTCCACATTTAGCTAAATTCCTATGTTCCGATAATATCACTCGCCGCGATCTACTGGACTGAACCTTGTAGCTGACTTCACAGGCATTGCAAGGTATTTTATGGATTTGGGCATTGTGTCTAGTCGGTTCATTAATAAAGTCCTTTAACCCACCAAGTTTGTTCCTGAGTTTGAAGATTCGATTACAGCAGCAATATTATGGCCAATAAAATCAAAGGATAAGGAACAATGAATTTTGTAAACAAGACGTGAAAACTATGTTGCTTAAGGTCGCTTCTCTGTAAACTATATTTTAATGTAACAACCCCTTTGTCAGGCGTGAGGCTAGCAACCCCAACCTGTAAACACAGTTGCTACAGAAACTTCAGCACGATGAATTTCCTTGCGTCAAAGGAGAAAGTCTGCTTGGTGGCATGGAACGTCCGCACAATGTACGAAAATTATGTGAGCAACTCGAAATGATTGTGAACAATAAATTATGCTCGAAACATCATCTTTAAATAATACTTTATTACTGTGTATATAAAATAAAAATATTCTATAATGGAACTATATCACTTGGATCTTTTAGACTCAAAAGATTTCGGTGTTATGTTGATCTTACACGAACTTTCTCAGTGTGTTACTCTTCATATTGCTAAGCAGCTACGTGCAACTATTCTTCTAAATACAACAACGATTAAACTACCGGAATTATTTTTCATTCACAGTAGGTATTAGTACCGATTACTGTGGGAATTTCAAACGTTGGTTTGTAGGGATTTGATTGGTTTCAGGATTTCATCATGAGTTGACATTAGTTAGAGAACCATTGGAAAACTTGGGAGTACTGGACAGTTGTTTTGTCCTAGTTTGAGACTGTTCAGTAGTACGCATCCACCGGGATTCGAACCCAGGACCTTCCGGTTACAAGGCGCCTTGTAACCGGAAGGTCCTGGGTTCGAACAATGGAAGTGAGTGCGTACTTCTGATGATTCCCAAACTAGGACGAAACAGCTGTCCAGTACTGTGGGAATTATTACATGGATACAATGAAATATCTCACTGATGACAAAATCTTATTTGGCGTAATTCTGCCTAATTCATTTCTTTCTAACTTTAATTTTCAGCTTCTGTTGCGTTTAGGATATATGGAAAAAGCCCGAGAAGAAGGTGAACAACTGACAAAAATATTAGCTGAAAACCCGTCAAAATCTTGTTATCTTCAACAAAACAACTGTCTGCATAAACCAATCCATCATTCAGAGTCTATGGCTATTTGGAGGCCATGGTTTTATTTGGGTCTGTTTCATCTTGTCGATAGCAATTTATCAGCAGCTTCTGAAGACTTTACTATTGCATTTAATTTGGCGTCGTTAACACTGTCAACTGACAAGCCATTATCCAAGTCAACTATAGGATTACTTATGTACATGAAAGCTTTATCAGCATTGTATAAATCAGAAATACTAGTGGGTTGGTGTATATCTTCATTTTTATTTGTAAAATCAAATTCTTGTATATGTTATTGTCAGTTAATAATGTAATTATCAGGAAATACAAGTATGCTTGAACGTTCAGTCATGATATATATATACGCTTAATGAGTATATAAATTAACACTAAACTACCGTGTTATCTGAAGTAAGACAAGCTTCAAACTCACTACATAATATTCAAGTGTTGGTTTGTAGGGATTTGATTGGTTACAGGATTTTCATCATGAGCTGACATTAGTTAGAGAACCATTGGAAAACCAGCTGGGAGTACTAGACAGCTGTTTCGTCCTAGTTTGTGACTCTTCAGCATTACACATCCATCGGGATCCGAACCCAGGACCTTCTGGTTACAAGACGGGCTCGTATCAGGTCCCAGTGGCTTAAACCAGGTTTTCCAGTGGTTTTCTAACTAATATCAGCTCATGATGAAAATCCTGTCACTACATAATAGTTGAGCTCGCAGTCCATCAACCATTAATTTGTACCGTAGCATATGTAGTGTACACCCCTGATCGTTTTGGTATGAAATCTTAAAATACATTTTAAGCATGATCTTATAAATGAAGGTTGTTGTCTGTTACCTGTACTCAACAAACCTCAAAAGTCCATTTGTTTCACAAACCACTGGGGTACTTGCTTGCTGGAGTCTTAATTAAATAACGTGATTATCCATCAGTGTGTATTCTTGGTTACACATGTGTAAATTTACATACAATGTGGGATAAGATTAAATCACTTATGAATTTGGTTCGTTTTGTGAATAATGATTTGAGGGATTTTATTCCCTCTCAGAATCATACTGATGATTTATTCTGTGTAGTGTAAACCCCTTCTGGGACACTGTAAAGTGAGTGCTTTAAAAGTGACTGTTGAATACACTAGTTCGAAATATTTGATGGATATTTGTTATTCATGAGTGTACTAGTGGGTGTTTGACCAGGATCATCTATGATATCAGCTGTACGAATACTTTCAATCCAATTAAATTATAATTTGTGGTCAAATCTCTTTTGTTTCTACGTAGTTTTCCCAGGACGTTGGTACTACGTCATATGTTTGATTATTTAAGTTTTCAAACTGAACCTCTTTATTATCGCACCACACAATGGTTAGTATACCTACCAGAACCATTAGAAGGCAAGTTTCCTGCCAATCACTCCGTGACTTCTTCGACTTTTTCAACTCTATTGAAAAAGCCGACGTTTCTCATCTAACCATGTTCTCACTAGATGTGCTATCACTAATTACGAATGTCCCACTAACTGAAAGAATAAGCTACGTATACGAAAATATTGATTCAAATCGGGGAAAACATTGGTATTCCTACCGATCATTTGAAGGAACTACCATTGGAGATGCACCCTAAATGTTCAATTCCCTTTCAATAACGAAATATATCAACAAAAAAATGTTATAGTTATGGGCTCACCACTGGGCCCATTGCTTGCAGATTTTTTCATGTCAAAACTAGAACTTCGGGTTTTATAGGATATACATGGACTATGCTTTAGTTATCTTCAATAACCAGGAGCATTTGGAGGACATCCTGAACTTTTTCACCAACTGCCGTCCTGCGATTCAGTTCACATCAGAGGAGTCCAACGCAAGAACACCTTTTCTGGATGTTCATGTAACAAGATGTGAACAATATGGAACATTAGGAAGATCCATCTATTGAAAGCCGACACGGAACGGACAACTCACTAACTTTCATAGTTAGGTGTCTATATATATATACAAAACGTAGCCTGATGCATTTACTGAGCCATGGAATCCTCAGAATTTGCAGCCATGACACTATAGAAGAGGATATTAACACTGAAAAGAATCCTCCTCGAAAGTGGCTATCCAGAACGTTTCTTGTGACATCCATGAAACCTAAACCACTTAAATCGCGCACACTTTCTGTTCGCAAAAAGCGTTTCTACTTGAATCAACAATTAGACGGAGATTCATCAGCAGAAACACTGAGAAACCGCCTGTCCCCCTCATTGAAGAAAGCCTTCGCGGTTGAACTGTTGTTACCACTGTTGTTAATTTAACTCTCGTTCAAATTTTAGTTGAATTCTACTCAACCCCGTCAATTATATTACGTCAATCAACTTAATTATTTAATTTTTATTTTAGTTTATACCCAAATAACGCTTTCTGCACTACATAATTTGTTATCTAAAGAGTAACCCTTCGGTGAACACCTTTTCTATTATATGACATCAATTACTAATATACTGTACATAAATGTTTCAATTTAATGCTTCCGTGAAAGATTCACAGCACATGAATTGAAGTGATCTGATATTTCCGTGTTCACATAAACATGTCTTTTTATTGGCTTATATAATTCTGTGGAACTGTTTGAGTTAGGCGTTGTAAACGGATTCCCCTAAAGAGATTGCTTGACACACTATCTGCTTTGATATAAGAATAGAGCCTGGGCAGTGTGATAGACTATGCAGGGAATTTTATTTTGATAAAGTCTCACAGTGTTATACAAAAATATTTACGGATGACGTTTCAAGCACAATTTATTGCTCATAATTATTTCAAGGCAGTCACATAACTCTCTGACTTCCTCTATATACATGAGTAAAAAACTGATTACACATTTGAATCAATATAAAGTTCAATAGAAAAATATGAAATAGAAAGGAAGATAAAGTACATTTGGAAAAATATTAGTGTTATCAATAAAATGTAATAGGAAGACGAGTGCTGTCAGTCAATAATATGGGTAATAAGATGTCTTGTCAGTAAAATTAAATAAAAAACATTTTAAAGTGTGGTGATACAGTGAATTGATGAAATAAAACAAATTTTGACATTATTTCTTATACTTTGATTTTGTTAGGTAGCAAAATCTTCCATATCTCTGGTATTTGTGCTGAGTCATTTCTATTCCATGTGTTGGGTGTTGATTTGATTAACAAAGATTCAGTAATCAACCTCTTTCTCTACCTACCTACCCGCCTATGTAACCTTTTAGATTCCATGGAGGATTTCATCATGAGCTGACATCAGTTAAAGAACCATTGGAAAACCTGGGAGTGCTGGACAGCTCTTTCGTCCTAGTTTGGGACTCTTCAGCAGTACGCACCCACCACAAGGGTTCGAACCCAGCACCTTCTGGTTACAAAGCGAGCTCGTAGACCATTGAGACACTGGGACCCGATCCAATGGTCCTTGAATTCTAACTTCTGCCGATTCACAACATAGCGCGACCATTTCGCAATGTCTTGTTCGATGAGTTACTGCCTCATCTTCAACCTACTGTACTCTACTAGCCACGGCTTCCCACTAGAACCCCAGGTTAACTGCCTCAATAGAGCCAGTCGCTAGTGAGCGTCAGATTAATTTTCAAGTATTGGTTTGATTGTACTTTTTAGACTTTTTACTCTGTCCCACCATGTTCTGTGGTTATGTGTTAATGCATGCAGTGATGTCGCTGAGTTTTTTTCTGAATTACTTATCTTCGCGGGGTCAATCGTTCTTCACTTAGCTTAATTCTTATGTTCTGATAATCTGACTTACGCCGATCTACTAGTTTGACCTATGTAGTTGACCTCACAGTTATTCACGCATGTCTATTGAACTTTATATTGATTCATATGTTTAATCAATTTTTTACACATGTTTATAAACGAAGTCAGAAAATTGTGTGAGTACCTTGATATGATTATTATGAGTAATAAATATTTTTGCATACTACTGTGAAACTTTATCACATTAAAATTTAGATTGAAAAGAACAAGAAGCTCAGCAAAAATATCTTTTCGGCGATTTCATTCTCAAAAGCAGCTGTACAATAGCATTTATACAGATTAGTTTACATGGATACAATCCTTATTTGTTTAATTCCACATAGTAACGAAGGTAATAATAATTTTCAACTTGACATGAAAGTTTGAAGGTAGGAATATAGATTACAAGGGGCTTAGAGACAAGGTTGTATAGGGTTAGAAAACATTTACAACGTATGCAAAATTAATATTTGATAATTGGAGAAATAATTTTTAAAGGCGAGTAAAAGGTGATAATTATTTTCAGCTTGATATAAATTACAAGAGGCTTAGAGACTCAGGAATAGAACGAATTACAGGAGTGAACAAAATGAGCATGGAAACAAATTGAAATCAAAATTTTCAACTTGAAATGTAAGTTAGGAGGTGTGAATATAGATTATAACAGCATAGAAACAAAAAATTACACAAGTTTGGAATATAATTGTAAAATGGTTATTCTAAATGGATTATAAGCGTGATCAGAAGGAGCATGGAAACAAACTTAAAATGACTAATTTTATAACTGAAAAATAGGATGAATTGAATGAAGGCAAAGAGAGAAAATTACACACACAGAAAACAAAACAAAAAACTGAAGGATAAGGGTGTAACAACAAAAGACAAGGGCCAGGCAACAGATCGTTTTATTACGGAAATCAACACGTATATATATTTCCTGTACATTATTATAGCTTATGCAAGTAGACAAACGCAGTCTTCTGATTAGTTATTCCTTGGAAGTTAAGCAGACAAACGCAGTCTTCTGATTGGTTGTTTTCGAAATTCTCGGAAAGCGGAGCCATCTATCTGCGAATCGTATTTGCCCACGTTACGTCTGCTGTGATTGGTTGTTGAATCAGCCTTGTTCATATTTTCTCACGCCCAATATTAGTGACCTAGACATTGACGTAGATTAATGTCTACCAATTGGCTAGCAGCCTGCTCTCATCACAAGGGAACATACCGAACTAGGTCCATGGTACTTGTAAAGGCTGGACTAGTTTCTTTTGAACAGATAACTCCGGCTTTTCGATGCATATGGGGAGAGCTTCCGCGGTACAAAGAAGTCGGAAACATATTGCCTTTGGTAGATTTTTGTTTACTTTGTAAATGACCCTAAATAATGAGTCAGTTGAGATTCTGTGACAGGTATTGCCGAGATGTTCAATTATTGCGCTTCTGATTGAACCAGTGCCTCCTCTTTGCAGCCATGCTGGATGATGTTCTCTAACACGTTTTGATAAGAACCGCATGGAACGACCTACGTACCTAGCTCCGCAAGAGCAGGTGAACTGATATATGCACATTGAAGTGGTCATATGCGGAAGTCTGTCCTTCGCGTTGTTCCAAAGTAGTGGGCGGCTAGAGAATATCACTCTTAGAGTTGCTGCCGGAAAAGTCTTCTTTAGGGAATTGGAGATTCTCCTTTTAAGGTCTCCCCTGAATTCCAGAATCAAATAGAGTGTCTTCTTTTGCACTGAAGTGTTTTCTTCTCCTTTTGGTCGTGGTTTCATGTTCTCCCCCACGAAACGCAGTGGGTAACCATTTTTAGCGAGGATACTTTTGAGAAATAGGAGCTCTTCTTCTAAACTGTCATCGCTATAAATTCTTCTGGTACGGTGGGCTAGCAAGATGATGAGAACTATTTTACGGCTGATAGGTATCCAACTATAGAAGTTTGTAAGTTGACTATTCCATGTTGGATTTCTATGGATAGATCTTTTCAAAGTTCCGTTATCTCTTCTTGTCAATTCGACGTCCAGGAATGGAATCTTTGATTCATTTTCAACTTCTATTTTGAATTTAATTAAAGGATGACAGTTATTAAACTCCTGTAAGATACAATTCAAATAGGAATCATCTTGACAAATTATAAAAGTGTCATCGACGTATCTTTTGTACAGCGGTAATTTGTCCATTTGTTGATTTTAAGATGCCGTTTTCCAGGCTGGCCATGAAGCAGGCTGCCAAAAGTGGGCCAGGGGGAGAGCCCTTAGCAATCCCGTCCTTTTGTCTACAGCTGACGTCGTTGAATGTAAATTGTGCGTTGAGTGTGTACCTTAATAACAACTCTTTCAGGTATTAGGTCGGTATTCCGATACTCAGATTTTTGTCATCCATATGCTTGCAAAGGAAACAAATTGTGTCTGTAAGCGGCACATTCGTAAGTAGAGATTCCAAGTCCAGTAATAACATTCGTTTGCCATTTACATTCAAGTCCTTTATGCACTCAATAAATTCAAAAGTATCTCATAGAGAGTACTTACAGAGTTGTCGCCTCACAGGCTCCAGCATCTTGGACAACCATTTGGCAGTCGGATGGTACAGTGATCCTTCCATGTCTGAAATTGGTCGAAATGGTAGACCTGCTTTGTGTACTTTTGGTAGACTGTAGAGTCGATGGATGATTGATCCTGTTGATCTCAGACGTTCAAATAGGTCCTCCATAATGGAACAATACCTGGTTTATCTACTGAAAGAGATACGTAGAATAGGCGAATCTTGATTTCATGAACTTCTTATAATCTTGATTGTCATCTTTTAAATCCATTATTAACGAACGCTAAGTTAACGTAGTTCAAGGACTTATGCTTTTGGCTTTTGTATGTAAACTTGAACAAAGCAAGAACAACAATTGTACCAGGATAATACGAGCTCATCTTTTATTATTTCGAGGATTCTTCTCATCTGGTTACAACCTGAACGTTAAAAATATGAATTACATTAAAGATATGAACATACTTTTCCACGATCATAAGGAGTAATTGGTAGGAATTAAAAGTAACATTAGTCCGGAATGATTTAACCGATTAGGAGTTACAAACACTGACTATTTATAGAATAATTAGACAGTTAGGCTTGGAAACAAAAAACAGGGTTGTGTATATATGTGTGTGCAGAAACAAGGTTTAGCTAGAAAGAGCATAACAAAAAAGTAGATTACGTAAGTAAAGAAAGTATCTTATCTAATAGCCAATAGAAAAAAGGAAAGAAAAGAAACAAGGTAGGGTGAGTCATGTTTAGATGAGAGAGTAGAGTTTTCTGAACATGAAAAAGGTGACTCATGAAAGCTGTATATCTTTTTGTTATCACCAGGGCAGTGGAAGATTCGCCACTGCCTCTTTCTGCTTACATAGATTCGGTTTAAGTCGTTTGATGGCAATTGCTTCAGCAAAGCGTAGCAAGCTAGGTTTCTTTTGCTTGTTGAATATTTTAAACGACTTCAGGTTATCTACAATATGACCAGTGTCCAATAGATGACGAGCAATAGCACTGTTTAATGCTTGTGGACCTTTCAGTCTCAAGTTCTTTGGTATGTGTTCATAGATGCGGACACTAACCCTTCTGTCTGTTCTTCCGATGTATGTGCTTTGGCACGTACATGTAAATTGGTAGACACAGTTGGAGGTAACATGAGGTGGGTATTTGTCCACTTTTGATTGTCTCAAACAACTAGTTGTTTGATAAACACATACAAGCTTGGCGGCTGGATATGTTCTCTTCATGGCAGCGTTCAGTCTACATCTTATTCTTTGAATGCAAGCTGCAGAAAGATAGGCTTTTTATCTACTGTGCTGCTTTTCATTTTTTCAACATGACGTCTCCCATACTTGTCGATGAACTTTTTTGGGTAACCGTTGTCGCCTAGGCATTTCTCCACAGTGAATAGGTCTTCCTCAATGTTTTCTTCTGAACACAGTTTCCTCACACGATCAAATAATGTTCTCACCAATCCCTTTTTGTAACTTATAGGGCAGAAGCTTCTGAAGTTAAGATAAACCGCCCTCCAGGTCTCTTTTCTGTGTATATATCTTATGATCTTGCCGTCTTTATCTCGTTGGATACCCAAGTCCAGGAAATGGAACTTCTCTTCTTTTTCATACTCCATTGTAAACTTAATATTAGGGTGGGCGCTGTTCAAGACTTCTAATACTTGAGATGCATCATTGAAAGAATTACAGATAACGAAGGTGTCATCGACATACCTGGTATAGAAGGTTTGTCTGGCTGATTGAGGATTTTAACCTTGTTTGTTCTAGACTACCCATATAATTGTTACTCTGGTAATACAGGATTCGAAACGTAGTCATTTTCATTTTTACATCATATGAAACTTTTTTTCTTTATTTTGATTCTGTTTACTCTATGGATTTATGGTGTCTCACGATTTTTCATGGGGTGATTAACTAACTGCCTAAAGCCGTATTATATATTATTAGGTATTTATTATGTGAATGACTTACGTGAATAAGTCACATTTTGCTAATAAGGTTGATAGGTAAAAGTAAACATACTAATTCAAAAGACAAACAAACAACAACAAAAAAACGAAACTGAAGACAAAAGATTTTCTGTATAAATAAGATAAACAACACTGGTATTTGTGTTTGTGTGGTCAAAACTCTTTCAAAAGGATGAAGTAAACTAGATGAAAGTTTTAGACGTAATAATAATAATTCATGAATTATGTAGGTTAATATAAGTAACTATTGATTATAAACACTGAACGGAGAGAGAGATCTGAAGTCTCAGTATCTCAGTTTAACCAGTTCACAATGTCTGCTGTTGTCATTCATTTACTTTTTGGTTAATTAAAATACTTTTTTACTCACTACGTTTTTTTTTTTGTTAAATATTATATATAGGATGCTATGGAACTTGCCATCAAAGGCGTTCATAACTATCCTTTTATCTTAGACACTATACTATTATTGGCTCAAAGTACAACGTAAGTGAAAGCGTAGGCTTATAACTCGTGTAAATGAATTCATTGTATTTTGTAGAATTTTTAGTATGAACTCAAAATCTAAGATTGTCTAGCGTATGATGGTTGTCTAGTCAAAATTCTTTTAGCAGTCGTACAGATTTTTACATATTTTTACTGTCTTTATTGTAGCTAAGTAAAGCGATGAAAATGAGTCATTGTTTGTAGTGTCGTTTTCATGTTGGCGGAATATTGATGAAAGACAAGTAAGTAATTTCCAAATTACCATTTACGAATTCAGACAAAACACCTATCGGGGAAAAGTTCGACACAGATTAAGCCAATAAAGGACGACAATGGAAAGTCAATCACCAAAGAGGTGGAACAAAGAAAACACTGGGCTGAACACTTCAAAAGACTTCTAAATCGACCGCCACCTACAACGCGCCCAACAATACCAACAACGGAAGCAGAACTACCAGTGAACATCAACACCCGACGAAATCAGAAGTCCTGAATGCAATTAAGATGCTAGAAGCTGGGAAAGTAGTAGGACCAAATGGAATCCCAGCAGAAGCATTGAAAATGGATCCAGAGACAACAGCGGACTTGATGAAGCCATTGCTGGAGAAAGTGTGGAAAGAGGGCAAAGTACTCGAGGATTGGAAGAAAGGATACGTATTCAAACTGCCAAAGAAAGGAGACTTGAGTCAATGTAAAAACTGGCGCGGAATTATGCTCCTGTCCATCCCAAGCAAAATACTAAGCCGCATCATCCTGGAGAGAATCAAACAAGCCAACCTGGATGAAAATTTCGACGGGAACAGGCCGGATTCAGGAGAAACAAATCATGTATTGACCAAATCGCCACTCTACGGATCATCATTGAACAAAGCTTGGAATGGCAGTCACCTCTCTATCTTACTCAACTTCATCGACTTTGAAAAGTCCTTTGACAGCGTCGATCGAGAGGTGATTTGGCAACAACTTCGCTACTAAGGGGTCCCATCGACAATTATACATCTCATCCAACAGTTATACGACAATGCTGCATGTCAAGTAATCCACAATGGGAAACTTATGGAATCCTTCGAAGTCAGGACGGGAGTGAGGCAAGGGTGTCTACTATCGCCAATGATCTTTCTGATTGCAGTAGATTGGATAATGAGACAGACAACGGGCAATGGGGAAACAGGCATAAAATGGACTCACACAAAAAACTTGGAGGATCTGGACTTCGCCGATGATATATGTCTGATTTCCCACAAACTGGAATATATGCTAGTGAAAAGCAACAAGTTGGCAGAAGAAGCATCCAGAGAAGATAGGACTTCAGGTGAACATAGATAAAACAGAGGTGATGAAGATTCTTGGCCAACACCAACAGCAACAACAACAACAGACAACAATCAGCCAGCATAAATGGGAGGAACCTGAAGGAAACAACCTCCTTTACCTACCCACCTGCCTGGGAAGCATCGTTTCAACTACAGGCGGACGGAACTGACGAGGATATCAAAGTCAGAATCGGAAAAGCAAGACAAGCTTTTATTACTCTTAAGTCTGTGTGGAAGTCAGCAGCACTCAGCATCAAAAATAAGATCCGGATTTTTAACTTCAATGTGAAGTCAGTCAGTGCTACTATACGGATCAGAGACTTTGAGAGTCATAAAGAGCATCTCAAACAAACTTCAGACCTTCATTAGCAGTTGTCTTCGCTCAATACTCAAGATCAGATGGCCAGCCAGAAATGATCAGCAACAGGTATCTCTGGCAATGAGCGAACCAACCAGCAACTCATTGTGAAACAAATAGGCAGGAAGAAATGGAATTAGGTGGATTGGCCATACTCCGAGGAAACAAACCATCAAGTGACATCACTAGACAAGCCATCGCTCGAGTGGAACCCGAAAGTGAAGCGGCGAGTTGGTCGTCAGTGCAAGGGTGACTTGGAGGAGGTCATGTGAGGAGGAGATGAAAGCATGTGGACAGACTTGAAGCGGGGTGAAAAAGTTGGCAGAAAACAGGAGGCAATGGAGGTGCTCAGCTGAAGCCCTATGTTCCTCTAGGAACTAAAGGATATAATAATAATAATAATGATATAATAAATTATCATTTACCAATTTAGAGAAAACAACGGGCTGAGACAGGAAATATATTCAAGAGTTGGTTTGTAAGGATTAACCTTGTTTTTTACGAGTTTGACCAAAGATTGATATCAGTGAGAGAACCATTGAAAACCAGCAGGGAGTACTGCCAGACAGCTGTTTCATCCTAGTTTGGGAATCATCGGAAGTACACACCCATTGGGGTTCGAGCCCAGGAGCTTCCGATTACAAGGCAAGCTCGTATACCATTCAGCCACTGGGACTCGATTCAATGGCTAGCCCATGAATTCTAACTTCTACCAATTCGTGATATAGCACCATCACCAATCAATGTCTTCAGTGGGAAATCCATCCTCACACATGACTGGTTGGACTTCACTGGTCACGACTTCTCACTAGTTCCCCATCATCGGCTCTACACTAATATATAGTTGTGCTTTTTTTTACATCAAAAGTGTACCAATCAAGTGGTTATTTTAGTTAATCAGTTTTAGATTTAAGGAGATGAAATTTTTCGGTTACGTGATAGCTTGTTGCTAACGCCTAAGAATTAACTTATATTGAATTCCGTAATTAATTTTCACCCCTTCTTCAAAGCTTATATATCTTGTCAGTAACTAGCATGTATTAGTCAATTGTTTTGATGACTATTAACCTCTTAGTTTCACAGACCCGTATACCTAGAACTGATTAACTAAAATAACCGCTTGATTGGTAAAATTCTGATGTAAAAAATTATATATTAGTGTAGAGCCGATGATGAAAAAAATATTCAAACAAACTATAAAGAAGGAAGAAACACAAATAAAAAGCCTCTGTGATGAAAATAGAAAAAAGAACTAATAAAAATTTGGTGAAACCTCCAAGGATTTTCGAATATGATAGTCTGTAAATACATTTGCACCATTTTTGGTCATATCACCGAGAATTTCTGACTTATTAATGCTTACAGTGTTCGCGCTTCTATGAATTCGTACTTTAAAACTCTCCTTGGTCATTAAGATTTTTATTCTATAGTATTGTAATCCATTGGTTGCCTGGTGCACTAGTATCGTAATGATTGAATCTATTGTAAGCTCCTCTAGAAATATGGTTCAGCAGAATTCACATTTGTAGGCGTGGCCATGTGGCGTAGGCAGTTATCTATTTTTCTATTCTCAACATACATCATTGGTGGTACTCTCCTGATGTGTATTACAGATTTCCCTAGAAATTAATGCCACAAATATGTGCGTGTTGTTCAATGGTAGATGCTTAGTAGTCATACGGCGGGAGGTCCGGTTTCGATTGTTGGCTGACGCACTCCCAAACCTCGCCTAGCAGGTAGTAAGTTCAGAAAAAAGGGAAGGATGGACATGAGGCTAATGACCTCATCTCTGAAAGCAAATAGCAACAAAGGGTGAAGCCCTATGTTACACGTGGAGCACAAAGGACTCGATTCTTAACTGGTAGACTTATCGTTGATCATTGATTCACTGGCTGGCATCTGGATAGCTGAAGAGCGTAATTATATCTCTGAATGCACGAATCTTTACCATGTTATTCAGTTCTCTGAATAATGTGCAATATGAATCAACTGTTCAAATACTGTGTAACTTCTTTAAACTTCACTTACGCCAAACAAATTTTTTCACTTACTAGGTTTTTAGGCACACTTGTTGCGTTAGAGCTGGTGTTACTAACTAGTTATCTAGGCATACGTAGATGGAATAGGATGTCAACTTTGGACCTACTGGCTGAAAGTTAACTACTTAATCCGTTAGTTCACATAGACACATCATCATTGGCTAATACATTTATCTAGATAAAAATTTGTCTGTAGACAACACTAATGAGTGTTGCTTTTGTCTCATTTATACGGGAAATTAAATGCTTTAAAAGATGGAAATAACTGGTTAGAGATGCAAAATAAATACCGTCATCTTTCGTTTAACTCTATCGAGTCTGTCTGTCTGTCTGGATTCAACATAGAACTTGGAACCGAAGTGCACCTGTTCGAGTTGCCACGTTCCAAATAGCACACAAAGGTAGACAAGAAGATGAGTGAAGAGAATCAATACAGTCTGACAGGTATAAGAGCGAAACAAAACGGGTGATGGTAGAAAGAAATATGAAAGATTACAGAGATTGAATACATCTGAGCCATTGAAAACGATTTGAGCCATGTCACCTATTGTCTCCAGCCATTAATTCTTAGAGTTCCGAGGGCCCCAACCTGGAAGTCTGAATCTCCCTACCTGACGACTCAGTTTAACTGTCAAGGATTTCATGGATTGATGAGGCCATGTTTTTGTTTGGCCACGACTTACTCTTTTCCAACCTGCACCTATCTATATCAGCTAGTAATGCCGTCGTCGGGGGAGGCGATGGTTAGGCATTCGCAGCACGTGACCTAGCCATCTCAATCTATGTAACTTTATAGCCTCGTCGATTGATTTTCCCTCTTTGCCTGCCTAACACTCTACGCCTAACGTCAGCATTACTTGCGTTATTAAACCACCTAACCTGAAAAAGAGATCGCAGACATCTATGATCGAAAGCAGTCAACCTTTTCATGTCTTCAACTCGTTCGTATTGGCCATGTTTCAGAGCCATAAAGAAGGACGGAGCGAACTTCTGAGCAGTACACACGTCCATTGGTTGATAGCCGGATGTCATGCCTACGCCAGAGATGGTGTAAATCAGCGAAAGCAGCTCGAGCTTTTTGGATCCGTGCTGAGATTTCGTCGCCAATCAGTCCGTTGGTGCTAATACAACTTCCCAAATAGGTGAACTGATCAACAAGCTCTATCACTTCACTCCCTATCACTAAGCTAGGAGTTGACGTAGTCCAGTCCTGTAGCAGCATCTTACATTTTGCAGGGGTGAATCGCATGCCAAACATACGAAGATTGCTGCTCAAGGTTTTTTCTGAACAATACAATACGAAATGAAATAAGTTAATTAATTATGCCATAAGAATTATTGACGTATGCGTTACCAAGACATTTTACGAAGCATTTTTTCTTCTCTGTCTCTCTCTCTCTCTCGCTGTCCTTGTGAAATATCCAGGTTGATTAGTTAACTTTGCATTTTTAGATAAACCTATGCAACTGAAACTTCAGACTGTTTGCCTATCCTCAATAGGCGTCGAGTGAGAAAACAAATAAATATAGGGAGTGCAGACAAATGCTATTAATCATCAACAAAGCATTCGACGTTTCATTGAATCTAGTCCATGAAATAAGCTATACTATCTACATACGATATAAGTTGTCTTGTATCTGACACCGGTATCTTTTGTTTCATACTCCAGAATATTATACTCTTTCCGTAATATTGTAATATACTACTTTGCTTTTTATTGTTTCAGTGGTATTTCATGACGATTTGTTTTTATTTTTATTTACAGACGTGCTTCTTTTAGTAAGAATTCATTGAATATACTTGATTTAGCATTTCCACTTCTGGACAGTGCCGTTAATGATCCATCCAGTCCTGCTTTCGTTGAGACATATACTGAGCTAAAACTAGTCAAGCATCAAATTATACAATTACGTGCTCTAGTCAATTATAGACAGGGGAATATACTTCAAGCAAAAAACGATGCAACGGTAATATATGTTTAACTCTGTTTTAAGATATAATAAGTGTCAATTGACTTCCTATCATTATCTGAATCAAATTATTTGAAATCATTTTACACGTATTTCCTAGTAATGGAAATGGTGTTAAATCGAGGGTGAAATGGGGAAAAAGTTGAATTTGGTACTATTTCAACAGGTCAATCAGAACAGAATACCAAGTTAAGTTGGCGTCAATAGGCTCTGTGAGTTTTTCATCTGAATGCCGCTCCAATCACACCGGTTTTCAGGATCAGTTGGATCATTTGCCTTCACTTATTAGATGAATCGTAACTGGGCACATGAAAAACACCTTATCGTTCAACTTACTTCCATAATTTTAATAATAATAATAATAATAGCTTTATGTTGAAAAATGCATGTATAAACACTAGAATTTTTGGTCTGTTTTATTGCAATATATTTACTCTGTGTAGAAGTAGGACAGTAATCAACAATACATGTTTTGAAACAGTGTTTCACTTCAAAACGGTTTCTCTTCATTTTATTCAAACTCCAAGTAGCGAATTGAAACTTAATTGGTGGATGGTGACTGGCAGTGGGATCCACCAGGATTCACATTTCGTCATATTTGGGACTTGTCATCTGGGTGTACCTGCATCCCTCAGTGAGTGATGATGTTCCCATAGTTTCAAATGCCAAATCGTTATCCACTAGACCATGTGGGCCACGAGAGCCACCTCTTGTGCAACGGGTCATATTAATTGTTCAATTTAATTTTACATTTTCCCATCGATTGATTGGACCTAAGTGCTCGGTTTCAGGCTCGACGATGTCTGGGCATGTAATTAGAAGTTAATTGATGGATGGTGACTAGCAGTGGAATTCAGGATACGCATCTCGTCCTATTTGGGCCTCGTCTTCCGGATGCACTGTTAGTCACCATCCATCAATTGACTTCTAATTGCATGCCTAGACATCGTCAAAGCACCTGTACAGGGAGCCGATATGTCAACCTGAGAGCGAGTACTTTGGTGCTATCAATCGACGGGAAAATCTGAAAGTGAAATTGACACTTATTTGAAGATTTGCGTGAGTGTAGACTGTGATTCATGAATGAAACTAGATGAATTAAACAATCTGATATGCAGCCAATATGATGATGATGATGCATTATGATGAATGGTAAAATGAGACAGTCTAGTGATTTAAGCAGGCTGCTTTTTAATGCGTTTAACATCATCATATCCTTAATATTAAAGAATAGGGTTTCTTATTCCGTGAATGATGGGTTCTGTTTTTACCCTGGATCCTAGCTAATATGTTTTTGGGCTAATTGATGGATCTGATCTACAAATTGTAGAACACTTCTGTTTTCTCTATGCAAACATCAAAAATTCAGTATTAGACATATTGCACAATATTTTTCTGCTTTCATTTTTTATTCGTCATGTTTTTTGATAACCCAAAATAAAAATGCTAAACCTACGCAGTTTACTGACTACATTTTAATGTAATAACTTGGAGAATTACTCGATCGCTAATTGAATTATTCGCGAAATTCGTTGTCTTATTATAAGCATATCACAACTAGACAGATTATTGAGCGAAACGTGAAATTTAATTCCAATTTGTGTGTTTTTTCAAAATAGAAAAGTTAGGTAACGAATATAAATGATCACGAGTCAATGGTGTAAAACAGACTGATTTGTTGTTCACTTTTGTCGTATTCATGGGTTTTTCAAGTGTTGGTTTGTAGGGATTCGCTTGGTTACATGAGTTTCATTATGAGCTGACATCCGTTAGAGAACCATTGGAAAACCTGCTGGGAGTACTGAACAGCTGTTTCGTCCTAGTTTGTGACTCTTCAATAGTACGCACCCACCGGGATTCGAACCCAGGACCTTCTGGTAACAAGGCGAGCTAGCTTGTGTACCATTAAGCCACTGGGACCCGTTCCAATGGCCCACGAATCCTAACTTCATGGTTTTTTTGGGAGGGATAGGGGAAGACACATTCGACTGAGTAATTTATCGTAAGTGGAATTATGAAAAGAAACATATCAAATAATGAAAAGCGGGAACAGTGTTTTACTAATTCCCTGTAACACAGAAACACATAGTCATGTCACTTCTCTGCTTATCGAAGTATTATGATGAATAAAATATAATAGGTATACTGTTAGCTTTGAGTCTCTAAAGTTCGCTGGCAGCGAACTAAAGAAATCCGCTGTCATTCTCCCACGTTAATTCAACATCCTACACTGTATAAGTGGTCACCCGGATACAATTCCTACACTCAGAAGTTATAGAAGACAGACTGAGAAACCAAAATTTATTTCTCCGGGACAGAGGTGAATAACTGAAAGCTCCTTTTGTTTATTATATAGCTATTCTGTGCATTGGTCGTTCACTAGTAGGAACTCTTGTCAATCACTCACGGGATCCGGGGTTCGACTCCCAACTAATAAACTTTGAAACCTCACCTAAATGGTAGTAGGACAGGTAAGGAGGGAAAATTGGGCGTGAAGCTTTTCCCATCAAGTAGATAAAGACATCGCTGATACTGGGAATTCTAAAGGTCAAGATTGAAACCCTGTGTTCCACTTGGGAAGCAAAGTAATTTAAAAATATGGTTATCCTGTTAAAACTAATTAATTACAGGTTTAAATTGCAAAAAGTGTGTGTTGACAGGTGAGCAACATACCATATATAATTATTAAATAATTGCCTTAATCGAAGGCGTGATTTGTCCTCCACAGACCTCTTCACTTTCTTGATATGCGAATAAGGTTAGTGCTTGTAGTAATTCCGAAGAGAAATATCTCTCCATGTATGTACATAACTTTAAAATTATTTTCGAGAGGTTTTTTAAATGAAAATATGAATGCAAACAGTCACTTATTTCCTTCTTACATGTGCTCCATTGGTTTTGTTCCTTATTTTATTTTTGTAAAATATGTAGCTGTGCTTAGATTTATTTCCATTGGATGGACTTTGTGTATATATCAAAACTCTTTGTGAATTGTGCACTGGATCACTAATGAGCGCAATAAAATCTTCAGCAGTAAGTCATCTTCATAAATTTCTCCACTTTTTCAATCAATCTTAAGGTGTTAGCAAACAATGCCTGTTAAATTATCGAAACTGCACCAGGGAAGTCGAGGATATTAAGGAAACTTATTTATATTTTCCGATAATTTCACTGAATTCGAAAAGTGTAACATGGTAATTAGAAATCATACACACTTCTGAGGCTGCTCACTATAAATATATTTCATCAATAATCAAGTGTACTAATGATTTTATATATGAATTTGGTTCCCTTGATAAATTTCGATAGAGAAAGAAAGACCAGATTTGCAGTATAAGATGATATCATTCTATTTCACAGGTTCCCCTCATCAGCTAACTACAAACTACCTGAAATTGCAATGGTTATAAATAATGACAATAACATACTTCAATGTTTGAAAGGTAATAAAGAAAACATTATTAGATGAACGCATCCGGAATATAAATGTTACAATTTTTAGTTTAAGTGACCATCAATTTATATGCTATCAAACTATGAAAAAAAGAGTATGGGGGTGAGAGAAGACAGAAAACAGAAAAATCTAATAAACAGTGTTAGCTTGTACGTCAACATGGCAACTATGAAAGGTTAAAGTTCATCAAATTAAAAACTTGTTTAGTGAGCTGACCACACTAGTGTGTATGACTAATCAGTGTAATGAAACTGATACGTTTACCAAAGGAGTGAGAGTTTGACTACACTCTCTTTCTGTGAGCATAAGTTTTGTCTGAGACGTTTGATTGCAATCGCTACGGCAAATCGTAGTAGATTCTCTGTCCTTTGTATGTTTATTATATTAAAGGATACGGAAATCTCGACAAAATGACCCGTATCCACAAGGTGTCTGGCAATTGTACTTTGTAAATATCTGCTTCCTTTTAAGCATAAGTTTCTTGAAATATGCTCTGAAAACCAAACAGAAGCCCTTCTTTCTGTCCATCCAGTGTACTTGCTGCAGCAGGTGCACGTAAATTCATAAATGCAGTTGGAGGTAACATCAGCAGGGTACTTATCCAGTTTCGATTGGCTTATAGAGCATGCGGTGCTGCATAGTGTCACCAGATTGGCTGCAGGGAAGCATCTCTTTATTGCTCCTTTCATCCTCTTTTCAATCTTTTGTGATACTGCTTCTCCTTTGAATGTGAGATAAATAAACACTATCTTCTTTTCAACTGTTGGATACTATATATATAGGTGTGGATGCTTTTTGAAATTGTCATAAAATTTTGCTAGTGATTTAAAGAAAGATGTTAAAGAATTTTCAGACTTCCAGTTATTCTCACTTACCATAGTCAGCTGAAGTGAGTCGGCGATGATTCTCAATTTGCAACCCGAAAATCCAAAGACTACTCCTGTTTTCATCCCATGACTTATACATACTTGTTTTCATACTTTGATTTGACACTAGTAACTAGTGTGATGCGTCTAGTCCTCTGATTGGTGTAGACTGAATTCTATCAGTCAGGTTGTAATGTGACCACCATTCTAGCTAGCTGGCCATCACGGTGCACATTGATTTGATGGTATTAGATGGTTGGAGGCAATGAGTTCCTTCAAGGTTGCAGATACGCCTTGCTGACGAGTGCCAACTAGCACGAAACCTAGGTCCAAGGCTTCCTGCCGATTGCCTCCAACCATCTAACACTTGTTTTCATACTGCCTGTAATCGAATGGTGAGAATAAATAAACTGTATAGCAGATATCTTGAATCCGGAGAGTGGTTAGATCGAACATTTATTAAGTCATTAGCTACTTAATATTCTAAAACATACATTCACATTTATAACCACTGGTGCGTTGTATTGAATAACAGTTAGGAATCAGTAGCAATTGTTTATTTATAACTTCATTATTCTCTCACTGGAATTACTAGATGCATAATGACTTGGCAAATTCAGAACAACACATGTAAGCAAACAACGCTGTTTTCATATAAGATGATTGGGGGAGATTAGCATGAAGATTTAGACGCAAGTTTCGTGCTTCTTAGCAAGGAGTATCTGCAGTTTTGAAGGAACTAAAGTCGCCTCTGAAATTGGAATCTTAATCAACCAGTACTACAGTCAGAAACGTTACCACTAAGCTATTCGAGCTCGCGACTGACCTCCTGTGGGATTATGATGGGTAGTGTGATCGGACACTAGGTAGTGACTAATGTCATACGTCTAGCCCTTCGTTCGATGAAGACTGAATTCTGTCAGTTAAGTTTACCATGTAGTTCGTCATCACGGCGCACTCTGAATTGATTATAGACGGTTCAAAGCAATCGACAGGAGGCCATGGATCTAGCATAATAGACACATTGCGAAATTTGACTGCTTTAATCCAGTCTTCATCAAACAAAGGACAAAACGCATGACATTAGTTACTACCCTAATATCTAATTAGAATGTTGTTTTCAACTAGATCTCCCTAGGCTTAACTCGATTATACATAACTGGAAATAAATTTTAAAAGTACAAATCAGTAATGGTGGTTCCTGAATGAGATGATCAAATTTCGTGTTCAGTTATAATGATAATAATAATAATGAATGATTGGGCGATTTGTGATACTAGGAATGTTAAAAATGGCGCTGTTATATAGCCCAAATATTTAAGTAGCCAAAACAGAAAAATGCCTAGGAAAGAAATGATAAAATTGCGTAGTGCTAGATTATAAGAAATATAATTCAACTGAGGTTTAGTGAAGGAGATAATAAGGTCAAGAAATGGTTGACAAAAATGGCAGAAAGTTGGGTTAAAAACAAATAAGATGCTAATGGCATAATCAATTCTACCAATGGATTTGTATAGTTATGTACCTTAAAACCAGGCCTGATCATATCTAATTGATGACAGAATTGTTCACCTACATGTGTCGTACTAATTGTCAACTTGCTTGAAATCACATCTGAAAAACAATGAATTAATTTATTTTCAAGTATTGCTTTTGTAGGGATTTTTTTATTGCATGGAGGATTTCATCATGAGCTGACATCAGTTAGAGAACCACTGGAAAACCTGGGAGTACTCGACAGCTAACCTCGCAGTTAACCTGGGGTTCTAGTGGGAAGCAGTGACCAGTAGGGTACAGCAGGTTGAAGATGAGGCAGTAACTCATCGAAGAAGACATTGCGAAGTGGTCACGCAGAAGTTAGAATTCAAGGACCATTGGACGGGTCCCAGTGGCTCAATGGTCTACGAGCTCGCTTTGTAATCAGAAGGTCCTGGGTTCGAACCCTTGCGGTGGGTGCGTACTGCTAAAGAGTCCCAAACTAGGACGAAACCGCTGTCCAGTACTCCCAGGTTTTCCAATGGTTCTCTAACTGATGTCAGATCATGATGAAGTCCTCCGTGCAATTAATTCATTGTCTACTTATCTCTTCTTCAAATTGGTTTGTAGGGATTTGACTGGTTGCAGGATTTCATCATTAGCTAACATTAGTTAGAGAACCATCGGAAAACCTGCTAGGGAGTATTGGACAGCTCTTTGGTCCTAGTTTGAGACTCTTCAGCAGTACGCAACCACCGCCAAGGTTCGAACTTAGGAACTTCTGGTAACAAGGCGAGCTAGCTCGTATAGCATTAAGCCACTGGGACCCGATCCAATGGGCTGTACGTGAATTCTAACTTCTGCCAATTAACGACATAGCGCTACCTTTGGCCATTGTCTTCGGCGAGTATTTGTCCTCACTAGAAGAGTTAAACTTTGCATGTTTTATTATCTGTGATGTGAAAATAGAACTCTTCGGACTCATATATAATACTGACAAGGACTTCTACATCCTGTATGGATCATAGGCGATTGCTTCGCTGTAAAACATCGTTTCCCCTCCTTTTGAATAATTAAATTTTCAATTTTTATTTAGACTAATAATGCAGGAGCGGATCATATTTAAAGTGAGGTTGAGTTCGGTGAGACTTATCGGTTTAGCTTATGTATCTTCCTAGTTTCATCAATGAGAATTTTCCAATACCTAATTTACATACACACACACAGTGTTTCCATTTCTGTGTTCGTTTGATTGATTCACCTTATTGTTGTGCTTTATATTCCCAATTCATTCATACTCTTCATCGTTATTAAGTAATAATTTACAATGTATTTCTGTTTTACATTTTAGGTACTTTCGTACAATTTAAATTATTCACTTGAAAATTCTTCAGAAATATTTCATTTAAAATATCTCATTGGTAAGCTGATTATTGACTTATTTGTAAATAGTTCTATCAAATCAATATTCGCATTTTTTACAGTCAGTATTTGTAAACTCATGTATGTTTTTATTTGAGAATATGTCTCACATAGTAAACACAAGGGACGAAAGGGTAGTCATAAGTTTATATCAGGTCATAGATAAATTACAGTTTCGCTTCACTAAATAACTAGTGATGATCAGACATACCTTGAGAAAACAGCCGGTCTGAATGATCTGGTCTTACTTGTGTGTGGCAGTAGGTGTTTCTTGACGGTCATATGTAAGCAGCACGCTTCAATTTTTAGACATACAAAGTTTCATTTTCATGATTTTATGCTAGCATGTGTGGCCTGTTGCATCAGAAATGCTTCCTCCTTACACTTATTCAACCTGGTGTATATTGCAGATATGTGCTATCCTCCCCTTTAATTAAGTTCTAATGGGTGAGGTTACAAGTAATAGCAAATAAAGCATGTCTCACTTCCATTTCAGTATACTTATGTAGGGAAAAAGAGGACGGTCACTTATGACTTCAGTTTTCCCAGGCAGTTGATTTTGTACTACGTGCTTAGAGGAATGGCCTATTCTTATTACGTTTGGCTGCTTCAGAGGTGTTATGTTAATATTTTTGCACAACTGGAATATTTGTTGCAGCGTTGGCTATACTGTGAGCGAAAAGACCTCGTGACACCTTTTGTCCTCATCCTTTATTATTTATTGAATTCACAACAGCAGATTATCTTCTAATTGGATTATTCCTTCAAAGTGGAAATTTCAATAGTCTTTTTTTTGTTTATGTAAAGTTGTGTATCTTCCCGAATAGATAGATAATCTTTCCAGTAACTTAAACAATGAGATTGGCCTGGGCTTTTCTTCTTTGTTTCATTCATCACAACCCACCAGTTCCAGCGAAGATCATGCATTACACAGATGACCCTCACTGCGGCTATTTCCCGCCTCCTTTCCATTTGACATCTGGTTATTTCACTTCTTTCAAATAAAAATTGGCATGAGGACGTTTTTCATTCATTTGAGTTCATAGTAGAACATTAGGCTTTAAGCTTGTGCTTTAGAGGTTACAGTTATTGTGGTGATAGGAATAGCTAAAATGACTGGTTAGGCTTGGTTTAGGAGCGCGTCGGTTGGGAATAGGACATAGACAACGTCGATGGTTGGTGAGGATTCTGCCACTGAATCACCAGTGCACTAAACCTTATCAGGGTGGGAGGACACAACCGTCCTCAAACCCTGAATACAACCATTAGGTCACGTACTATCCCATCACCCTGGATATATCTGGCAACAGGAAGTCACGAGAATACCATCAGAGCTCATGATAAGCTATAAAGTTACATAGATTGAGATGGCCACGTCACGTGCTGCGAATGCTTAACCATCGCCTCCCCCGACGACGGGCATTACTAGCTGATATAGATAGGTGCAGGTTGGAAAAGAGTAAGTCGTGGCCAAACAAAAACATGGCCTCATCAATCCATGAAATCCTTGACAGTTAAACTGAGTCGTCAGGTAGGGAGATTCAGACTTCCAGGTTGGGGCCCTCGGGACTCTAGGAATCAGTGGGTGGAGACAATAGGTGACATGGCTCAAAATCGTTGTCAATGGCTCAGATGTATTCAGTTTCTGTAATCTTTCATATTCCTTTCTGTCATTACCAATTCTGTTTCATTCATCTTCTTGTCTACCTTTGTGTGCTATTTGGAACGTGGCAACTCGAACTTCTACACTTCGGTGTCGAATTCTATGTTGAATCCAGACAGACAGACATGATAAGCTAGGTATGAGAACTTAGTCGACTGATATAAAAGCGACCAATTTTAACTACAAACATCCCCATATAGCTTTCATAAACAATCAGAGTCTACTAAGGATAAGTGGTTACTTCTGATGTGTTATTAGAACAGAAGGTAAGTGTGAAAATTCGTTCACTAGTCCACCTATCCATATCTTCGCTGTGACAGCTGATGTTGCTGGCAATAAAACAGGACAAGTTAACGGTGTACAACTGATGGTGGACTCCGTTTTCTTCTTTGATCTCGTCAGCTTAAATAAACTGCACAAATATTTGTTGACAAGAGTTTAGCAACCACACATTGAGTTAAACTGACTTCTAGCAATTTGTTTCAGATTTGCATCAAAGCGATATTTGACTACTTATCAGAGTAGATAATTAGCAGTATTTCATTCTATCCTCCTTTTCTACCGTGAGATGTTGCTGCTAAATGTAGGCAACGAAAATTATGGATTTGTGACTGTAAACACTTTTGTCCAACTGGTAAAATTAGGTAGGCAGCATGTCGAGTAGTCAAAGTAGTAGAGGAGATTCGTGGCTGAGAATGAGGACTGAGTTGTGTAGGTGTTCTCCCAGGTTTGCTATTTTATTATCAATAGCATTATCGTGGTAAAGTTAGTCCTGAAGACGTCAACAAAGCTGGAGATGAAATCTTCAAATATCAATGCTCAGAAAACACCAAATAATTTTTCTACCAAGTAATGTTTAAATTACACAAAGTGTGTTAGGCAAGGAAGTGCGTCCACTGTGCTTCGGTGGCACAGTGGTTAGGACTCTCGCCGACCATGCACATGGTCCAGGGTTCGAGCCCACGCCGACGCACACCTTGATATCTATGGTCGGCCTGTGAAATTTAGGCTACCGATATCCATGCTGAAAATTCCATACTTGTACCAAAAATACGGTGTGGTATCAAGCTGTAATCAGAAAGTAAGTTTATAAATAAGCTTATGAACCACTCCTTTGTTTGAGTTGTCTGGGATTTATGTTATGCATACTGAGCTGCAAGCTTTTGTCGACAGGAGATGCTAGATGAAGTATAACTTCGTTAAACATTAGTAGTTGATAATCATACTAAAATATAACATTATTCTATGAAGTGATTCAATGTTGACTATTCGGGTTTCAATGACTGGGACACTCTTTATGACATTCACTACGGCTGGGATGAATTCACTTTATGTTGTTTTCGAAATTTTGAATGCTTTCCCTACTCGTTACGAAATTATTTTATTGTAGTATTATTCGATTAGAGAGGTTTCGTGTGCATTTCGGATTGTGAGGGCGATTGTTACTTCCCGGCTGCCCACACCGTGGAAGTTGGTTGCGTCACTGCAGAGCCCAGGGGACAACTGCTTGAGGCCGGTCACATGCGGCCTGTTTTTGTTTGTTCTTTATTTGAACAAGGCATTAAGAAGACAAATTTCGCGAGATGATATCATTTCGTAGTTTCTTTACAACCGCTTTACAACTAACATGGTTAACAATGATAAAATAAAGTTCATGAAAATTACTCAGTTAAATAAAAACAAAAGTACATACTGATGACCAATCATATTAAGATAGGTCATGCAGTCCAGGGTAGGCGAAGATTGAAGTCTATTGATTTTTGTACACACAGTTTAGGCTGTATGTGATGAATCCAAAGTGCTTCCATCACCTTCAATAACCTTGAATTAGAGTTATGTGAAATAATTGTGAAACAGTCATTAATATTTATTTTGTGACCAGACATTAATAAGTGTTTTGCAATGGATGATGCTGGATTTCTATTAAGATTAATCGCGTTGGAATTTACGATATGGTTTACTAGCCATTTTGGAATATGTTCTTTTCGACGACATTGGAACATTCTGTTAGTTCTACCTATATAGGTGTCACCGCAGCTGCAGGTGAACTTGTAGATACAGTTTGAAGTAGAGTCCACAGAATTTCGTCCTTTAATCGTAAGAACAGGGATCGAAAATGTTCGGCAAGTGAGAAAAAGAGATGCGGCGTAGAATGTGCGTTTGATGGCTGATCGAATTCTTTGAGTTTTCAACTGCATAATCTGGTCGCCCTTGAATGGTAGATTAATAAAGATGGCTTTCTTTGGTACAGAAGCTGTCTTTTCGAGATATGGTTTTTCTTTGCTGTGACAAGTGATAAAGCTCTCCGGATAACCATTAGCTAATAAAACTGAATGTACATGTCGAAGCTCATCCATCAGTGTGTCACTCGTGCATATTTTTCGGGCCCTTGAGAACAAACATTTCACTAGGGAACGTTTATACTGGATAGGAACAAAACTGGTAAAATGAAGATATTGTCCAGTCCATGTTTGTTTACGAAAAATAGAGCGCTGAATCGTTCCATCATTTCTCCTAGTCATAGTAATATCCAGGAAACCAAGTTTGTTATTCGATTCTAGTTCGGAAGTCACTCGAATATTTGGATGAATATGATTAAATAGAGTAATGAAGTTTCCAATAGATTCACTATTATTACCAATAATAAGTTCACCTGCAGCTGCGGTGACACCTATATAGGTAGAACTAACAGAATGTTCCAATGTCGTCGAAAAGAACATATTCCAAAATGGCTAGTAAACCATATCGAAAATTCCAACGCGATTAATCTTAATAGAAATCCAGCATCATCCATTGCAAAACACTTATTAATGTCTGGTCACAAAATAAATATTAATGACTGTTTCACAATTATTTCACATAACTCTAATTCAAGGTTATTGAAGGTGATGGAAGCACTTTGGATTCATCACATACAGCCTAAACTGTGTGTACAAAAATCAATAGACTTCAATCTTCGCCTACCCTGGACTGCATGACCTATCTTAATATGATTGGTCATCAGTATGTACTTTTGTTTTTATTTAACTGAGTAATTTTCATGAACTTTATTTTATCATTGTTAACCATGTTAGTTGTAAAGCGGTTGTAAAGAAACTACGAAATGATATCATCTCGCGAAATTTGTCTTCTTAATGCCTTGTTCCAATTTATCAAAGGGACTAATTGTTTTAATTGTTCTTTATTGTTTAATGTGTCTCAGTAGCATATTTATCACTTCTGCCCTGTGACACGGCAGCAGGAGGCGCGGTCGTTGTTAATCCGGGCCCCGACCGATTTGGCATGATATTTTGTGAGTTTGTTTGTATCATAGTATTGGATTGGGTAGCTGCTTTTTGTCTAACCGCTATCCAAACAACCTTTCTGGCATAGTAGGACCTCAAGAGACATAAGTCTCAGCCAGTATAGCCTGTTGGGACATTGCGGTGTTCCAGCCCGACCACCGCGTCAAGGTAGCAGCTTTCGGTCGGGTCCTAGATTAGAAATAGGAAGTGAAGTGGTAGAGCACGTTGACCGCTTTACTTATTTGGGAAGTACCATTAACCCCAACGGGTTGATCTCCGACGAAATCTCAGCACGGATGCAGAGGGCCAGTTTCGCATATGCCAGTTTACGCCGTCTCTGGTGTAGACGAGATATCCGACTATCGACTAAAGGGCGGGTGTACTACTGATCAGTCCGCTCCGTCCTTCTTTATTGCTGTGAGACCTAGCCACTGAGAGTGGAAGGCATGCAAAGATTAGCTGTCTTTGATCATAGGTGCCTGCGTTCTATCTTTCGTGTGAAGTGGCATAATAAGGTGAGCAATATTGAGGTTAGGCGTCAAGTTATAAGTAAGCGGAGGAAATCAATCGACGAAGTTGTGAAGTTACGTAGACTGAGGTGGTTAGGGGATGTGATACGTATGCCTAGTCATCGCCTTCCTCGATGAGCAATGTTATATATATATATATATATATATATATATATATATATATATAGGGTCAGGCTGGAAAAGAGCTAGCGGTGGTCAAACCAAAAACATGGCACCAGTCAATGAAATCTACAACTGTTAGTCTAAGCCACGTAGGAAGGTGTCGACTTCCTGGCTGGGGTCCTCGGGACATTAAACACTAATGGTTGGAAACAGTTGGTGACATGGCTCAAAATAGTTCTCAATGGCGCAGATGCATCCACTCCCTTTGACTTATAATTTCCAATGAAACTGTTTTGTTCTTCGTTACTACTATTCCTTTGTCTCACACCTCTGTTTACTGTCTCTATTATGCATTTCTTCTACTTTCTTCTCTTGCTTTGTGTGCTACATGGAGGGAGTGTGGGGACTTGAACTGCCGCACATATGTGTTAAGTTCTATATCGAAAACAGACAGAGAGACAGACAGTATTATTCGATCTCCATTTTTATTCTTTTCTGTCTTTACTTCTGAAGTATGACGAGTTGATATGGTTGGCTTTCATGCGAAGTTTCACATTAATTGCCTGTCTGGTGATTCACCACTGTCAGTCACTCTTACGGAGATTCCTTGGCTAAACAGTGTAATTTACATCAATGTACGACAGGTTTGATTCTAACTCTATCTACTGAAATCTGAGAAACACTATCTGAAAATTTCATGCATTTGTTCTCCTTGATGAATTTGAATTACTGGACAGCTGCTTTTTCATCCTAGTTTGGGAATCATTGGCAGTACGCACCCACTGGGATTCGAACTAGGATGAAACAGCAGCTGTCCAGTACTCCCTGGTTTTCAATGGTTCTCTAACTGATATCAATCTGTGATCAACTCGTAAAAACATAACAAACCCTTACAAACCAAACTATGGAAAAACTCAGATAACTATTTTCAAATAATAAGCACATTTCTTTTTTCAAATTTTCTATGTATATTTTTTCTTCAGAATGGATCCGATATGTCCACAGTCATCTATATCACTCATTAAATGATTTCCATTGGTTAGATAATTTTCCTGAGAGATTAATTCACTCATGGATTCGTGGAATACCGATGGGTGAAACTGTAAGTGATAATACCAATTCGAGATAACAAGTGGTATAGATTGTTTTTTATCCCGTTTTGGGGATATTCTTAAATTTAAATTAGACTTTTTTTAAAAAAAACTTGTGGCTTTAATTATACATATTGCACTTATGTTTCATAAATGATGATATTCGCTTTTGTTTAAATAGTTTACCAAATCAACACAATGTAGAGAATATTCCCAGTTCTGAAGGAATAGTTTTTCTCCTCATCAGTTAACTACCTGGTGAAAATTGTTTGAATTCAGCTGAAAAATCCCTTACTAAAGAAGTATTTGAATAATGGTTGGTGAGTGATTGTAACACGAATCAAATGGAATTCAATACCTATACAGTACTTTTAAATATAAAAAAGATAATATTCAAAACACAGGATATCGTTAACATTCAAAGGTTGCTATTTTATGAGCTGAAACACTCTGTTGATCCTCTAGGATCAGACTGTTCAGTCTTCTATGTTGTTGTGTAGTCTCAGTTGAGTAGTTTAATTGAAAAGCCTTCATTGCCCTTCTGATGAAAAACGTCTTCAATTCAAATTTTAATATGAAGTGAATCTAATTTAATTCTCTATGAATGATATAATTGAATCTTTCGACAGTATTTGTCATGGTTGGTTGTTAACCTGCATCAGTAGTGATCGTTTCAATTAAGATCAACGCCAACTACAAAATGAATCACATGAACTGTGATAAGCTCTATACTTGTGAGCAACCTCTTTGTCTCCTAGTCTAAGAGCATAGGCTAGCTATCAAAGGACACGATATGTATTCTTTCATATCGATGCATGCAGACAACTATAAACACCAGTTTGCCTGAGAAAATGTAGAAATTTTAAACAATAGAAATACCAAAAATTCCAGGGAATTTTTGAGAAACCTGGTACTCAGACGAATCAGCAATGAACAGACATGTTGTAATTGATGTCAAATTTATCAACTAAAATAAAGAATAAGTCACATGACAAAACGTCAAACTATAAGTTCAATAAAATTAATAACCAATCGTACAAAATTTATCAGGAAATAAATACACTTATATAATTCATGGAGAATTCAAATTAGTTCATACTGAGTATTGACACTTGAAATGAAGATGTTTTCTAGAATGACATTGAAAGATTCGTAATTGAACTACCCTGGGCCAATGAACACAATTATATCAAATTCATCCACATGAGCTACACATCTCTGTTGCTGTTTAGTCTGCTAAGTACCCTACATCAGTGAAGCTTGTCTATCGATGTCAGCCATATGTACTAAAGGACGACGGCGTTTGACATATCCTATTTATAAACAAATATAAGTATATATGTATGCATGCATGCGTCGATATGCAACATTGTAGGATTGCATTGGTAGTAATGTCCATACCAATGAACATTTTCATCCAGACTACACCTAATAAATGGCAAAAAACATTATGCAGAATATGAATTCATGTGTCACTTCTCTACCAGTAAAATTAAATAAGCTGAATTATTTGAAGCATATTGCGAACAAAGTTAGAAACTGGTATAATTATCCTTCTTATTTTTATAGCGTTATTAGAAGACGGAGATTATCTGAAAAATGTGATGTATTAGCGCTATACATTTCGAACAATCTGATCACACATTTACTTGTCAAGTCAATATATATAGAAAGGTTAAATTAAACAAAGTGAGAGAAAAAGGAATTAAGAATAATTAACACAAACGTTTGGTAATCCAGTCATATAAGGATTACCAAGGTAGGTTAGGAGTAATAACAAACTGTTTTTGAATACACAAGTGGGGCTTAAGTCTATGAATAGCTATAGCCTCAGCGTATTTCAGCAAATGCTCTTGACAGTTTTTATATTATTATTATTATTATTATATACTTTAATTCCTAGAGGAACATAGGGCTTCAGCTGCACACCTCCATTGCCTTCTGTTTTCTGCCAGCTTTTTCACCTCGCTCCAAGTCTGCCCACATGCTTTCATCTCCTCCTCACATGACCTCCTCCAAGTCACCCTTGCACTGACGACCAACTCGCCGCTTCCAAGTCTCTGATCCGTATAGTAGCACTGAATGACTTCACATTGGAGTTGAAAATCCGGATGTTATTTTTGATGCTGAGTGCTGTTGACTTCCACACAGACTTGAGAGTAATGAAAGCTTGTCTTGCTTCTCCGATTCTGGCTTTGATATCCTCGTCAGTTCCGCTTGTAGTTGAAACGACGCTTCTCAGTTAAGTGGGTAAAGGAGGTAATTTCTTTCAGGTTCCTCCCATTTATGCTGATTGTTATCTGTTGTTTTTGTTTTATAGATGACCTTAAAGGCTGAGTTAACATCAGTCTGATGGTTCATCTCGATTAGATGTTTAGCTATAAACAAAGTTGGTAGTCTGACACCTGCATCTATTGGCTTGACACAATTCATCTGTTTTTCCAACCATTTTGGGATACGCTCTCCCACCCTCACGTGCAAAGCGCGATTTCTCCTCCCTATTTATGTATGTCCAAACACACACGGAAAATGGTAAATTGTGTGGGATGTTATATAATCACTTTTGCACTATTGAGGTTTACAGTGAAGCATATTTTTAGCCTTTTCCACAATTACAAGCTGGGCTGCATAGTAGGTTCTACAGATGATTGAATTCAACCTTTGTCTCACAATCCTACTGTTTATTTCCCCGTTATATGGTAATTTGATGAAAACCTTTTTCTAAGGGACGGTATGGATTGTATGTTTAGAGACTAGTTGACTTCTACATCTGTTTAAAAATTTTAAAGGATATCCGTTTTCAACAAGAGTATCCATTAATATTTCGTTTTCTTTGTCTATCACATCAGCCGTGCAAATACGCTGAATCCTCTTAAATGGACACTTCACCAAGCCTCTCTTATACTGTAATAGACAGAAGCTGTGAAAATTAAGGTATTACCCTGTCCAAGTGGGCTTTCTGTAGATAGACCGTCTTATTGAGCCATCATCTCTTCGACTCAGAAGTATGTCTAAAAATGCTAGCTGGTTGCGACTTTCTTCCTCTCATGTAAGACTAATATGATTTTGTACAGAGTTAAGTCTGTCTAATAGGCGACTTGGATCTTCATGATCGTCACATATCAAAATGATATCATCTACATATCTCCTATAGAAGGGCAATTTTGAAATTAAATCAAGGGATAAGTTTTCAACATAAGACATGTAAACGTCCGCGAACAATGGTTGTAATGGAATCTCCATAGCAACGCCATCCACTTGTCGAAAATGTTCACCTTCAAACGTGAAATGGACGTTGTCAGTACACAATAATAATAAATCCTTCAAATAAGTCAAAGGGAAAGGGAATGAAGAACAACTAGAAGATATTTAGTCACAAAGAATATCACCGGTCTTAATCAATTGTACATTAGTAAACAAAGAATTAATATCAAATGAATACATTTTCCTATCTTTTATGTTCATATCTACAAGACAGTCAACAAGTTCAAATGTATCTTTCAAAGTAAACTTACATAATTCATTGCGTACTGGACTTAAAATATCAGCTAACCATTTTGCTAGTTTATGTGTAGGAGAGTTACACATTGAAGGGTCATCTATAAAAACTGTCAAGGGCGTTTACTGAAATACGCTGAGGCTATAGCTATTCATAGACTTAAGCCCCACTTGTGTATTCAAAAACAGTTTGTTATTACTCCTAACCTACCTTGGTAATCCTTATATGACTGGATTACCAAACGTTTGTGTTAATTATTCTTAATTCCTTTTTCTCTCACTTTGTTTAATTTAACCTTTCTATATATATTGACTTGACAAGTAAATGTGTGATCAGATTGTTCGAAATGTATAGCGCTAATACATCACATTTTTCAGATAATCTCCGTCTTCTAATAACGCTACGAAAATTTATAAAAGGGACTAATTGTTTTAAATATCCTTCATATTATTGTGGGCCGACTGTAAATCTCTCAAAAAGTTAGTAAATAATGCCATATCACTGTACTTAAATAATACTGAGTGAACTAATCATGATACGATAGTTATACCCTACCCCTCATGTATGACGTCCTACACTCGCATAAATATATTTTCATACAATCTCATATAAAGTGTTGACTGTCAGCACACATCGAATAACAATTGAAATATGTTACCTATATATGTAAAGCTATAACGACAGTTACACGCCATGTGAAATACAAACACTTGACCGACTTTACTAAAATTGGTGCGCTCTACTATCCACCTAATGGAATAGCTTACCCAACTTATGGACTGAACGTAAATAACATTTGGCTAGGCTAATCAAATGCGTTAGAATAAATGTATCTAAATACTAACTCACTCGTAAACCTGCCTTTTGTGTAACATGACAACATACTGGTCATCTTCAATCAGCTTGGGAATACTTGAGGCGAAACCTGAATGAGAGGACCACATTATCTGAAGGTTTGATCACAGAAACAATATATTTGGGCACAATAAATATTAAGGTGAAGCGTTAATCAGTTTCTCAGGTCAGTAACCTCTGAGCGTGTATTGAAGCTTGCTCAGATGAGTACCTGCTAAACTAAAACTCAAAACATCTGAAGCATTAGGAGATGCGCTAGTAATCCGGGTAGTTATTATTGAGTTATTTCAGTTAATTCTATTTTTCCGCAGTAGTATTTTGTTGCCTGGGCGGTGTACTGCAAATTTATCGCGAAATTCACCAATACTCGCATTCTTGGATTCACGAGATTATAGAATAATCTGTTTCTCCTCCCTCTATAATTGTTTGTCAATTCAAAGGAGGAATATATTATTATTATTCCCTTGGGTTCGAAGTGGAACTTAGGGTTTCAACAACACATCACTTCGTTCTACTATCTATCCTGTTTTATTATATTTTCTGTCGTCCGCTTCAGCCGGGCCCACTACTGACCATAATCTCTCATCTCCTCCTTGCCACACGACCTCCTCCATTTTACCCTCGCACTGACGACCCATTCGTTACTTCCTATTGGGATTCCACTCGAGATATGGCCTGCATTGTGCGTGATGCCATTGGACGGCCACCTCAGTGGCGTATACCCGATCTATCTATTTCCATTTTCTCTTACATATTTGTTGAGCGATCGTCTCTCAGCTGTTGGTTTGTTGCCAGCCAGAGTTTCTTCTTGCTTATTCTTTCTGGCCGGCTGGTCAGCCATTTTATCTTCAGTATGGAACCAGTGAAGGCAACTTTTGATGAAAGACTGCAGCTGACTGCTGGAAATACTTTTCGTGACTCGCCAGTCAAGTTTCTATCCCTTTTAGAAGAACCGACTTGACATCTGTGTTGAACAGAATCCGAATCTCGTTCTTGACACTGGCTGAGTAAGTGCAGAAGATTTTCAAACTGATTTCAGTTCGATGAAGGTTTGCCTTTCCTTTCCGTTTCTGACGGACTGACTGGCTGACTGTGACATCTTCATTCGAGCTGTCCGACTGCCAGTGGTTGAAAAGATGCCATTTAACCAAATAAGTGAAGCAAGTGAAGTAACCTCTGTCAAATCTCTCCCTTTTAATAGTGATTGGTGCTGGTTGTTGTCGTTGTTGGTTGGTTGGTTATCTTCATCACCTCCATCTTCCTCTTCTCTACGTTCACCTGGATCCTGTCTTCGCTGCTCGCATCTTCTGCCAGTTTGTTGCTTTTCACCTGTCTCCAAGTCTTCGAGTTTGTATGTGACATTAAACATAAATCATCCACGCACGAAGTCCAGATCTTATGAAGTTTTATTATCGCTCAGTGCAGCGTCTTCCTGTATTCTCACTCCCGACGCACATTCTGACGCATAATCGAGTCCACTGCAGTAGGAATAACATTGTAGGTGATAAAAGGCAGCGTGTCTTACTTTTGTAATCACTTCAGAAGCTTCTGTGGGTATTCCGTTGTGGATCACCTGACTGACTTATTTGCCTTTCCTGAATTCAGCTTGTTCCGGCGAGTTGGTGGAGTTGTGTTTCCAGTTTATCCTCTATTCTCTTCAGGATGACGTGACTTAGTATTTTACATGGCGTGGACAAAAGCATTATTCCACGCCAGTCAGTTCTTGTAGAGTGAGGCCTAAGTCGCCCTTCTTTGGCAGCCTGACGAGGTCACCCTTCTTCTAATCAGTAGGCACATTTTCTTCTTCCCAAAGGTTTTGCAACAATGGCCTGAGCACATCTGCTGCAGTCTCTGGATCCGTTTTCACTGCTTCGCATTGAGGAAATTCCGTCTGGTCCTGCTACCTTCCAGATCGGTGATCAGTAGCTTGGTCCCATCCAGGGTTTCCACCTTCGTTGGAGGGTTGGTATCCACTGAGAGGCAAGCAGTTCTGTGCGTGCTGTTGGTGGTGGTGGTGGCGGTGGTGTATTTCTGGGAGAGTAGCAGGTGTAAGTCGATCCAAGAGTCCTTTGAAGTGATCAGCCTATTGTTTCATTTGTCTCTTCTCCGTGGTAATCAGGTTTTCTTGAACATCTTTTTATCGGTTTGATCATCTGGATTGATGTCTTCCTGGATAAAGATAGAAACCTGGTTATCTGATATAATGTTCTGAGGTCTCGTTCACCTGCTCACTGCCTGTTCTGCTTCGGTTGCCGTCAACCAGTGTGTCATAGAATTGTCTTCTGTCTTTCCTGGCATTCTTCACTTTTCTTTTTATTCAGTGAGATGTACATTGAACTCAGCTTCTCCTTCTGTTATCCATCTTTGCACTGAGCCATCTTCCCTTTCCCCATCCTCCTCTCTTCTCCTCGATTAGCTTCCAGGTAGGCGTACGTTGAGAGCCAGCCATTCCCTGTCTTTTCTTGTTTCTTCCTTCTTCCTAGAATAGTTGTACACGTTTCCTTGAACATCACCTGCATTCAGAGAGTCATTTTCAATGTTCTCCCATAGAGGTTTCCTCAGTGATACCATGAAGTGTGTTTGACTTTGCTGTGATCTGATCTGTAGTGAAGACATTCGTTGTAGTCTTGCCCTTCAGTTTCTGAATGTTGAACTTGAATGAGAGTGGCCCCTCTCTAGTTTTTTTGGTGGATTTCAGCTTCACCTTGAAGATTTTTTAAACTAGATGATGGTCTGAACCCGCCCACATCTACTCCCCTTCTCGTATTTATGTCCAGCAGGCTGGCTGCGTCTCCACTTCCTCGAGCGACATTGAGGTGAAATCCACCTGGTTTGAGGAGTGTCCGTCAGACGAAATCCACGTCATTGGTCTTGTGTATATCCTTTTGCTTGTACACGCTTCCTCCCAACCACTAAATCATTGAGAATAATTCTCCGTTCTCATTCATTTCGCTGAGTGAGAGCTTCTTTACCTATGATGAGTTCTCTTTATTGTCTGCTCCGATTTCATCTTGCACTTATATCGCCCATAATGATTTTGATGTCGTCATTTGGAATGTTGTCCATTACTGGTTGTAGTTGTCTTTAAAAGTCTCCCTTCTTCTCTTGTTCTGTGTTGTTTGTAGCATTGTGCGTGACACTGGATAATTGTGATCTTCCTTCCCGCCTTCCTCTTGAGTTGAATATTGCTGTCATCATGCTACATGCTACTGTGCGTTGGTGGCACAGTCGTTAGGACTCTCGCCGACCATGCACATGGTCCGGGGTTCGAGCCCACGCCGACGCACACCTGATATCTATGGTCGGCCTGCGAATTTTGGGCTACCGATATCCATGCTGAAAATTCCACACTTGTACCAAAAATACGGTGTGGAGTCAAGCTGTAATCAAAAATAAAAATAAAAAATAAAATAATTAAAAAAGAGATTGGTTCCCACTGCATTAGGGCTTCGGCCTCCACTGGTGACATCACGATAGCCAATCACTGTCTCACTGCCTCAGTGTGCTCGTGGTTGTCGTCTGAGTGACCAGACCGGAGTAGATATCTGACTCTCCAGTTGACAATTTTGATAGTCCACAGCCGTTTCATCTGCTCTTGCAGATACCCATCACTTCTATGAAATATCTTTGCATTTCTTTGGCTACCTGGGCAGCCCTGCCTAGCCTCGTACATTGTACGGACATTCCACGTCCGCATTCTTACTCTTGCTTTCACTGAGCGAAGACACATCGACCTGCTGACTTGCTTCCCGAAGGCTGGTTTTCACCAGCCTGCTGGTAGGTTTGCCTCTCCGATTCCAGCGAAGAAAAGGTTTGTCTCTGCGTGTCCACTATATAATAATATTCCTATAATTTTCTGTCAATCTTTCACTTATTTATATTCCAATGTTGTATTTGTAGAAATTCTTTACCACCCAGTCGGGTATTATATCATATACACCAAAGTAAGTAAGCCGTATTCGTTAGGATGAATTATGTTAGCTGAAATGTTTATTATATAATAGTCTGTGTGGAACAATAAAAAGTGTTTTGCATGCTGATGTTTAAATTACATTGAATTATAAATAACTGTAATGTTTTAGCTATATGAAAACATGCACCGAAATCATTGAACGTGTGAGAATTCAGTTGGTTACGCTTCAGTCGAAAAATTTAATTGGTTGTTACAGTCGTTTTAGCTTACTTATTCTACGTATACGTGATAATTCATGACCTTATCGAGTAATCTTATTTTGTATCGGAATAGTATGAGAAATGACTAAACGTGTAGAGAGAATGACACAACTGACTGACTCATGAATGAGTAATAACACGGTACTCAATACAGCATTGGTTCAAGTTATCCCACTTGATTACTGCAAATAATCAAAGAAAACATCTACTGAATGATACTACGATCGACAAAACTTCATAAATAGTATGGAAATCTTCAAGACTTTGAAGACAAGAAAGAACGAAGATACATCTGAGACAGTGTTAACATGGAGGGCTCAACCATTGATCCTTACTATCTAGAGAACCGCAGTTGCACAACTCTTCCCTCCCTTCACCATTGATGAAAACAGTATTTGATCAATTCTGGATAAAATGTTTGTGTGAAATTGTCTGCCTTTTGACGGAATGAACGAAATCAAACATCTCAATGTCAAACAACAGAATATATAATATAATTTTATAAATATTTGTATTACATTCAGATTGTTTTAAGTCACATATCTCTACTGAGTTGGTTTTCGTTTTTTAATATCGATTGGGAAATCTAAAATTCAATAAAATAATCAATATGACCCATTGCACAAGAGGTGGCTCTCGCGGCCCAAGTGGTCTAGTGGATAACGCTCTGGTGTTTCACACTATGGGCACTAGGTTCGAGCCTCGGTGGGAACATCATCACTGACTCACTGGGGAATGCAGGTACATCCAGGTGACAAGTCCCAAATAGGACGAAACGGGCATTATCCTGGATTCCACTGCTAGTCATCATCCACCAATTAAATTCTAATTAAATGTCCAGACATCGTCGAAGCATCTGCACAAGGAGCCGACATGCCAACCTTAAACCGAGCACTTCGGTCCAATCGATCAACGGTAAAATCTAAAATTCAATAAAATACTATTTTCACCCTATGAATAATACCCAATGTGATATAAATTAAAAAGACAAGTCAGCCTAAAAAATTTTTTTCACTGACTTCAAAGCTATATAGTTGTATAGTTTTCTTAAAGGTCATGGAAATGGCTATAAAGGTCAACTCTCAATGCCAGTTAGCCACAAAACATATAAAATTACATTTCAGAAACAATAATCCATAAATTACGAAACTTAGTCGAGTAGTCGTACACAAACACAAAAACATTAAGTGATAAACGTCACTAAGGAAACGATGATCATTGAAACTGTAATCGCCTGAAAACTGGAATATTGTTCGTAAGAGTAGGAGATTTGGAATATGTATGAAATATTTAATTGGTGGATGGTGACTAGCAGTGGAACCCAAGATAACGCGCATTTCGTCCTATTTGGGACTCATTGTCTGGATGTACCTGCATTTCTCAGTGAGTGATGATGTTCCCACCGAGGCTCGAACACAGTGCCCATAGTTTCAAACGCCAAAGCGTTATCTACTAGACGACTTGGGCCGTGAGAGCCACCTCTTGTGCAACGGGTCATATTAATTTAATTCAATTTTAGATATGTATGAAATATATTTTAAAGTTAAAAATTAGTTAAAAAATTAAATGTGAAACTCAGAAGTAACATAACAGCTGAAATCCTTCGAAGTAGGCTATCTGGAGCAATAAGAAAAAACATTCTTCTCCGCATGCTTATGTCTCACCTTTTCCATATGGCCTTTTTATTCAACAAAATGTCAAAGACAATGTTCCACCGTTGTCAATACCCACGTGCACATATCTCATATATCACTTACCCCCGCAGAGTGAAGTACATAAGCCGTACTAGTAGAATATTGTCTAGACGAGTGTAATAACATCTTCCATAATGGTTATCGATAGGCAAAATTTAGCGAACCAATAGCTCAATTCTTGAGCACTTCGTGCTTACAAATCATTCCGCATCAGTATATAAGTCTTTCAAAGTGATAATATCCTTGGGCAAGGTTAAATCTTTCGAAGGGTTTCAAGCACCAGCTTCCGGCTATAGAGGAAGCCGTCGCTATATACTCGAAGGAAACCTTAAACTGCGTATACAGAAGCGATTTGTTTAGTTGCTTTTACCACACCGTAGCCTTATGCATTTTCAATTTATACAGTAATTAGGTATGTAATCCGTGTTGACTCGTTTCTTTTTCTTTTATTTCTTTTCAAACTATTAACTTTTTAAAATATATCTCATAGAAAATCTGAATATTTTACTCGTATGAATAATATTCATGTTTCCAATATTTTGCAGTTTTAACGATAGTCAGTTCTGAGAGACATTCACTACTCAGTGTTTTATTGCTAGCTGATATTTTTTTTTCATGCATACTATACTAAACTAAGTCAACTGATATGTGGTATCCCATGTATATATATGTAACTTTTATGTTGATTTCAATAGGTTATCTACCATAGGATTTCAAATCTAGCGGATGCCCGGCGCTCTCCACCGGGTTGACTGTCCATTGGATGACGGTCTAGGGGAGATGGCTAAACCCTGATTCCAAACCTCCAACGACTGGCGTATGAAGCTCACTGGAGCTCACCGGCAGACGTATGGACAAAGGGCTTGTTGGATGTCCTGGATGTCTGGCCCCATTCAAAAAGGCGTATGAACCGAACTCCGGTCACCGGCTGCCAATGGATAGTGGACTCCTTACTCCACTCCTACTGCCTTGTAGGTCACACTTGGCTGTGTAAAGGCTAGAGCTGCACTCTCAAACAAAAGGCCGAGCGATGCTGGGGACATCACTCGTACCAAATTCCCATGAAACTTCATGAACTCTCTTACAAATTGCCGCGCCTGGGCAGCGATGATTCGAGACGTTCATGAAGCCGGCTCATCCTCCCGTAGGAGATAGCCGAAGTAAAGTAAAGTAAAGTAAATCTAGACAAGAAACGCCTTTAAGTATTCACTTTACATAATAGGACGCTAACACTTTCGTATATAACTACTTTTCAGCCATTGGATTATTATATTCTTTGAATAAAAGCATTTAGCAGTCATCTTTACTACTGATGACATTATCTAGTGCTTGTACGTAACCACCACTTTCACCACGAGAAAATCAAACGAAGGCATATTGACCATCCTTCTCCAACTGATTGTCAAACCAGGTGGTAACTACATTTCAGTATAATTCTACTGATATTGCAAGACATATATATATATATATTATTGGATGTGAATGCTTCTTTATTATGGAACTCTGAGTAACTAGGTTTTACAAATTTACAAAATTTTTTAGTAAGAATATTCTAATACCGTTGGAAGCGAAAGCAGGACTGTAGGTGAACACAGAGAAGACGGAAGTGATGAAGATAACCAATCAACAGCAACAACAACCAGCATCAATCACCATTAACGAGAGAGATTTATCAGAGGATGCCTCCTTCACTTATCTGGCTAGGAAGCATTGTTAGATGGTTGGAGGCAATCGGCTACAGGAAGCCTTGGACCTAGGTTCCGTGCTAGTTGGAACTCATTAGTCAGCAAATCGTTTCTGCAACCTTGAAGGAACTCATGTCCCTTCTGAGATTCGAACCCGCGTCACTCAATGCTGCAGTCAGAAACGTTACCACTGAGCTGTTCGGGCTCGCGATTGACCTCCTGTAGGACTGTAGTGGATATTTGACACTAGTAACTAGTGTGATGTGTTTAATCCTCTCATCGGTGCAGACTGAATTCTATCAGTCAGGTTGTAATGTGGCCACCATTCCAGGTAGCTCGCCATCACGGTGCACGTTGATTTGATGATATTAGATGGTAACGTCTCTGACTGCAGTACTGAGTGACGCGGGTTCGAATCTCAGAAGGGACATGAGTTCCATCAAGGCCGATTGCCTCCAACCATCTAATATCATCAAATCAACGTGCAATGTGATGGCGAGCTACGTAGATTGGTGGCCACATTACAACCTTACTGGTAGATTTCAGTCTGCACCAATGAGAGGAATAGACACATCATACGAGTTACTAGTATCAAATCAAAATAGGAAGCAATGTTTCAACTACAGGAAGAACGGACGAAGATATAAAAGCCGGGCAGAATCGGAATGGCAAGATACGCCTTCATCAACCTGAAACCAGTTTGGAAATCTCTTACACTCACTCAGCCAGTGTAAAGTACGAGATTTGGATTCTATTTAACACAAATGTGAAAGCAGTCAGTCGGTTCTACGATGCGACTCAGAAACTTGGCCAGCGTGTAACAAAAAGTATTTCGAACAGGTTGCAGACTTCCATTGACAGCTGCCTTCTCTGATTTCATACTGAAGATCAAACTGCCAGAAAGCATAAACAACAAGAAACTATGGGGACTAACCAACCAAGAGCTGATCGCTCGGCAAATATGTAGAAGAAAGTGGAGATGGATCGTGCAAATATTGAGGAGGCTGCCGAACTACATCACACTCCAGGCCATGTCTCAAGTGGAATCCCAATGGGAAGCGACGAGTGGGTCGTGTAGGTGCGAGGGTGATGTGAAGGAGATCGTGTGGTGAAGAGGAGATGAGAGATTATGGTCAATCGTAGACCCAGCTGAAGGGGACTGCAGAAAGTAGAACAAAGGGGAGATGTGTTGTTGAAACCCTATGTTTCACTCGGAACGTAAGGAAATAATAATAATAAATAATAATATGATAATAATGTTGAAACTAAAGGATGAAATATAATGCGGACGAACACTATGGGCATAATGGATTATTTATGATACAAATATATCTGATAGTATTGAGTTACAGAATGACGGAATTTTTAATGCTTAAACCCAAATGACCTTCATTTTTTGAAAAGGAAGAATATGAAGAATAAAAAGGACAGCTTTTAGTCTTGAATTTAAGTCACTTTCTTGCCTATTCCGGTAAGTATTTTGTTTGTGTGGTTTGTTGTTTTACCTATCTTCCCATATCGGTTTGCCTTCAATTGATTTCATACTTCCCATTTCATTTACATCACCTCCGGCTTCAGCCCCGTTGTATCACCAGATTATATGAAAACTATACTCAATGAAAAATCATCTCAGTCTATCACCGAATCATCAGAAAAATTCAATGAATGTAATCAAAAATCATTTCTGTTAACTAGTCAACCTGTCCATTGTCAAAAGTTTTACTTAAACCGGTTGAAAAATTATTTATGTCATATAGATGGTCAAATGGGTGTTCCAAGTGATTCCGCTAATTCACAAAGTGATAATGCTGCTCCTGATTATTCACTTATTATCAATCAACGTCAGCAGTTGGCGCTGGCTGTTAGTAGTCTATACAGTGCTGAATTAATTCGTGTAAGTTGTGACTAACTTGTGTGTGTGTGTTTTTTTATTGTCACACTTAGTGTTATTAACCGAATGGCAATAATTATTAGGCATACTTGCTAAGGCATATTATTATTCCCTTGGGTTCCTAGTGAAACATACAGCCCCTCTCCATGTCATCCTATTTTCTGCAATTTTTTAGCTTGTTGTACGAGGACCCATAATCGCAAGATCTGTTTCATATCATCTTAGGATGCCCAACTTTTCGTTTTCCACTCAAGGGCCTGGCGCGTGATATCGTCCAACAGTCTCCTTAGATTATGTCCAATCCATTTCCATTTCTTTCTGCATATTTGTCAGTTAGTTCGTTGTCAGAGCTCCATGTTGCTTATCAATTGCGACCGACTAACTGACCTTCAGTATAAAGTGAAAGCAGGTTTTACTGGATTAGGCTTCTGGAAATGGTTTTGCTGACGCACCAAGTCTCTAAACCAATTCGAAGATCTAACTTATCATCAGTGTTGAATATCTTAATTCCATATGAGTTTGTTTATTAGATGTATCACACAGTGAATAAACCGTATTATTTACTGGATGACGTTTCGAACACAATTTATTGTTCATAATCATATCAGTTTTGATCACACGACTTTGATTGATATGATTATGAACAATAAATTGTGTTCGAAACGTCATCCAGTAAATAATACGGTTTCTTCACTGTGTGATACATCTAATAAACAAACTAATATGGAATTACTTACTACCACAGTGCCCAAGTTTTACACATATATGAATATCTTAATCTTTTTCGTTATGCTTAGTGGCATCTACATAAGTGAAAGAGGTGATTTTCGTCGAATTTCTTCCGTTGATGATGGTTGTTGCCTGTTGTTATTGATTATCTATCTTCATCTCTTCTGTCTTCTCTATATTCACCGGTGACATTGTCTTTTCTGCTTCTTCTGCCAAGTTGTTGATTTTTGTTTGTAGATCTTCGAGTTTCTATGATACTGGAAATAAATCATCCACGAATTCCAAATCTTCTACAATTTTGTTGTCAGTTAAACATATGCTTGTCTTTGTGCTACCCATGGTCTGCCACATCATCCAGTCAACTACAATCAGGAATATCATCATCGATAGTGGACAGTTCTATCTTATTTTTGTCTTCACTTTTAAGGCTTTGCTGAGCATATTACTAAGCAATATAGAGTACACACTGTGCCTGTTCTTTTTTCAAAATTTTCAATAATGAAAAAATAAGGTAACAGTGTCACTAACTCATTCTGAAGCAGTATAAGTTATTAACTTAAGCATTCTACGAGTTAATCACGAATTCATATCTGTTAGAGAACGACTGAAAACCAGGGAGTACTGCCAGGCAGCTTTTTCATCCTATTTTAGGGATCATCGGCTGTACGCACACACCACAAGGGTTCGAACCCTGGACCTTCCGGTTACAAGGTAATCTCGTATACCATTCAACTCGTAAAAACCAAAACTAATCCTTACAAACCAACTATAGAAAATTAATCCGATGCTCGCTAGTGACTTGCTACAGGACGGAGTTTCCTGAAGTTCTAGTGAGAAATTGTGACAAGTGAGGTCCATCCAGTAGAAAGTGTGAGGATGGATCTCCCACCGACGACGTTGGTTGCGGTTTCGCTGAATCAGGAATTGGTAGAAGTTAGAATTCATGGGCTAACCGTTGAATCGGGTCCCAGTCGCTAGCTTGCCTTGTAACCGGAAGGTCCTGAGTTCGAACCCAGTCGATGGATGCGTACTTCCGATGATTCCCAAACTAGGATGAAAAAGCTGTCTGACAGTACTCCCTTGTTGTCAATGGTTCTCTAACTGATATCAATCCATAATCAACTCGTAAAAGCAGAACTAACCCTTACAAACCAAACTATAGAAAATTAAGAATTCTATCTCGAATTCAAAATGAATTTCACTACCTTAAGTTAAGGAGACCACCTGGTGACATTATTGAACCAGCACACCTGAAAAGAATGTATAGTATGTAATTTTATTATTGCCTCCACTGCGTTTGACAGAGTCAATTTATGTTAACACATAATTTTGAAGTTAGCTTCAAAGTTCTCCTCATCATTAGCACCTAAACAGAGAGGTGTAGCATTTTTCAACTGTTTCATAACTTGAAATAACTGTTTATACTATAAATAAGCATTGACACTTAATCAAAAAGCTGTCAGTAGTTAGACAAGTACTTATTTTAGTGTTAGACTTATGTAATGCTATAATCAAGTCTAACTGTTTTGTTTACTGTTTATTTATCAAAACAAATGCAAATAAAACAATTTTCAGTTTTCCCCTGCATACACTTCATGCATTCGTTCATTTCTGTGTGTGACAGAATCACATTGTTTTTCAATGGCTAATATAGAACACTGTTTCATATATTCAGTTGGTTTCCCATAGATTAAAATATGACCAATTATCAAGTAAAATCACTTTATTTTCTTGATAAATTTGAAACTATCAATAAATGTGTAAAACAATATTTATTTTATTATTTACTGAAATTATCATTTGAACTTCACATTCATCGATCTTACAGGAGTGAAATTCCAGCTTTCTGTTGACATTTTGTCTCCTAGTACAGACACTTTGAATGTACCTCCAAGATTAACGCGAAGTTACTTGGTCAGTGGCAAATTACATATAGAACGAAATCAACGCTCTGGATTATAGTACTAGCCACCGTCAACCAAATAGTATTTGCAGTATGGGTTTTTGTAGGGATTTGGATTAAGTTCAATGTAGATTCCGTTAACCTGAATCTAGATAATGATCCTCAGCTCATTTATGAATCATAGCCAGTGGGTTCTACCACCATGTTAAAGTGAAATAAAACAAGACAGCTGTTCAATCCTCCCTGGTTTTAAATGGATTCTCTAATCGATGTTGGTTCGTGACTAAATTTGCATCCAAACAGAGCATAAAATTGGGTAGGGTTCGTGTGGTCAGTAAGTTTTGTGCGAAACAACATGGTTGACATAAATGTATACGTACATAACAGTTAAATATCATGTTCACTCTTATGGAATCGAATCGTTTTTGTTCATCATTTCAACCTTAAGATTTTGCTTAAATTGTCACATGTTTAGAACATCTAGGGCTTCCTCTCTAGCCAACATAAAATTGTGTACTTTATTGCTGTTACTAGATTCCTCCAGCTTTTGGTGTTAACCACTATGTGTTTTACATTGTGGAACCAGTAAACACGAAGTCGATGGTAGTTGCGTGACACTGTGTACTAATGATTGATTAAGATGATTAGTCGTATACCACTTACATGAACCAGTAGTAAGTGCTAGCCAGATCAAAGCTATCTAAACACTGGATGGCTGTTGCGTACGTTTGGAGCCGTGTTCATCAGTGGTGTATTCGGTTTAACTCAGCTTTGAGCACCGAACCAGTATAGAGAGTTCGGTTTCTGGTTACCTATTTGGGTGAACTGGTAATGCCATAAATAAAAAAAAATGATTTGCAGTTTACACAGTTCATAGTGGAATTTCACCAATTTTTTTCTTTGAAACTTTCTTCTAAGTATTACCAGTTCGCCTAGATAGCTAGCGCGAATTCGGATGGTTTAAATTGATTTGGTTCTCTGAGCTGAGTCACACCGGGTACACCACTGGTGAGCATCGCTCCAAACGAGTAAACGACCGTCCGATGTTTAAATACCAAGCACTACTGATTTATATGAGCAGTATGCAACTACTCACCTCAATCAATTAGGGGGATGTAGTTCCTCGCAATTATGCTTGTCTTCTTGATTATCATTCATGCTATCAAGTAGATCACATATTGTGATCGAAATAATTTGAGTTTCCAAAGGAAACCTCCTTATACTGTGTGAATTGCAAAAATCAATTCGTGAATTGTGAAATTAATATTATCCCTAACATCTATACTGTTCAAAAGCATACGCTATCTTTAGGCTTTCGCATGAATCCATAATAATGTGTCGTAAAATTTAAAGCTAATGCTACAAATTTTGACGTTGTAATCATGCGAAAATCTCAGTATAAAAATACTAATGGATTAAACGAAAATGAATGATTCCAGAACTCTGTATTTTCCAATGTGCATCGGTGGTTTGCTCGTAGGATGCTCGCCAGCCTCGCGAGAGATCCGAATTCATTTCCCTACCAGAAAACTCTTAAACATTGTCTAGGCGGTAGTAAGCCATGAAAAGTGAGAAGGTTGGGCGTCTAACTAGTAACCCCACTCCATAGAAACAATACAATGGCTAGTGACACTTCAAAGCTTGAAGTCCCATGTTCCATTTGGAAGGCGAATAGTAAAAAATGCATTCATTGATTATCTAACTAATGAAATCCTAGTAAGAATCAATCACTTCCACACAAAGGTGGATTCTGAAAACTAAAATGTCATATTTAACCACCTACAATTTCTGGTTCACCTTTTCATTTCATGTAAACAGTAGTTCCCATCAATCTTTATTGAATGGATTAATGACTATGGAGAGATCTGACAATAATTTTATGAAAAATCAGGAAGGTAGTTATTACAACCTGAGAGATTTCAAACAACTTTATCCGCCAGTTACACGAGTCAAGAATACACGGACATAACTAACCGATTATTGTGATGCTTTAATGTTCCACATTTTTGAGTGGTTATAATTTATTTCAGTGATCTATGCCGATAGTTGAAAATAATTTGTGTGGTTTGCGGTTGGGGCGGGGCGGGGCGGGGCGGGGGGGCGGATTTCTCTATTTTAGAGATTTTTTTATGCCACAGACCTAAGGTTAACTTTCATCAGATCGACGGGATTGTCATGGGAAGCCCCTAGGTCCACTGTTAGCTGATATATATATATATATCGCATGTCGAGAACCTAGTGGAGAAAGAAATTGGAAAAGTTTATTTTTGCAAAAGATATGTAGATGGCATAATAGTCATTTGTGATAAACCGACTGACGCCATAGAAATCCTGAACCAGATCAACAGAGCACAAAAAAGTATATCGCTAACATACGTTAAAAAGAATAATGGTTTCCTGCTATTTTTAGATGTACTCATAACCCGCCCAGAAGATGGGTCAGTGAAACGATCTGTCTACAGAAAGTCAACACGGACGGTACAGTATCTAAATTATCATAGTTTCTGTGCACTACAGTATAAAAAGGCGTTGGTTAAATGTTTGTTCAAGCGCATTCACCGTATATGTACTGCTGATACAATTGAAGAAGAAAGACAACACCTCACTCAAATACTGTTAGATAACAATTACCCACTGATATTTATTAAACGTTACGGAAGTGTCAACCATAAGGCTTTACCTATCCAATCAGCTCCTAAAAAAGATGTTTACATATCCTTGCCGTTCCGAGGTGATCAACAAAGTCTTGTCAGTAGACAAAGACTCAAGGCCGCAATTAATAGAACCTATTATGCAGCCAAACTTATCTTCATAGAGAAAATGAGAACCATGCTGTCCTGTAAACCCTCACATTATCCGAACGATAGTGTCACATCCCACTGTGTTTATCAATTTACATGTATGTGTGGAGACAAGTACATAGGGAGGACCCATCGGTCTCTGCAGGTTAGGGCTACAGAACACATTCCAAAAGGGCTGCAACAACAAATGAAATCGCCAGACACAAATGATCCCGGAAACAGATGTCCAACATCGTCTATAGCGAAGCATATTATAGAGACGCGTCACAAGGTTGATTTCAACAGTGCCTTTAAGTCGATATATAAAACAAGATTGGGTCACATACTTAAGTTCATTGAAGCCTTAGCCATAAAATGACTTAAACCTGTCTTATGTGTCCGAAAGCTATTTGTTATCACTCTAAACCTGCCTTGGTAATCCAATTTAGAACCAAGGACCAATTTACTTCGTAATATTTTCAACCCCTTCTTTGCCTTGATTTTTCTCTTTTTATGTTTCTTGCCCACATCTTTTACGTCTCCCTACCCATTATTTGTGACCTTGACCTGTACACAATCTGACCTGTATTATAATTATTCATGCCTTCTTGCCTTCTATAGAAACTGTGTATGATCAGGATGTCCGAAATGTGTTGCGCCAGTACATTACACATTTCAGATAAATTACGTCTTCTTATTGTGTTGTCGTAACTTTCATCAGTCTATTTTCATTCATCACTCTGTTTTTATTATAATTATTAACAGAATTTTTGGTGTTATCGTCACCGGGTATCGTTTAGTACATGCTGGGCATATTCACAGGATCGTCAAGCACAAGCATCAGCTAATAATCATCGACGTAAATCATTCAATAATAATTATCCACCACCTAGTCAAAAGTTTATTAATGATTGCAGTCAGTTATCACTATCATCATCACCATCACCACCGTCTTCGATCAATAATAACACTTATCGACCGTTTTGGTTAAAACGTTTATGTAAATTATTAAAACAACAAGCCATTGAAAAGCCTTATCCACCTGATTGGTTCGTACAAACAAGTATTACAGCTAGATTATTACATTTAGCTGACCCTTATGAAGAGTTAGTATTTTGGAAAGTGTATACGCCTAATACAACCGATAATATATCGAAGAATTATGTACAGAATGATGAAAATAATTCACCAGATTCTTATTACGATAATAACGAAGAGAATGAAAACGAAGAAGATTACGATGCGGATTCAAACGGTCGAGCAGATGTAAATTCTGACCGACAGAATAAAGGAGGTAAAATTCACTGTGTCTTGTCTGTGTTTAGTTATCATCATATGATGATAAATATTTTCAGCTTAGATTTCAGAGGTTTAGATTTGTTTTTGTATGCTGTTTGACTTTTGAATCTTTGTTGATGCAACTATAGATATTGATTGGTTTAGGCAAGGATTTCTCAGTCATGTTTCAGGCGAAAATAAAATTCCCCTAAAGATGGCTTTTAGTGTGTCGGTGGCGCAGCGGTTAGGACGCCCGCCGACCATGCACATGGTCCGAGGTTCGAACCCCGGCTGACGCACTCCTCTACCTCACTAAGCCAGAAAAAATGCTGGTAAAGAGGAAAGGTTGGGCATGAGGCTAGCAAGCCCATCCTGTGAAATTAAACACTGCTACAGAAACTTCAAGCTGCTAGCTTGAAGCCCTATGTTCCACTGGGAACGTGAAGGAGAAATATTTTTTAAAAGACGGCTTTCAGAGTAACTCTGAAAGCTCTACCAATGGAGCCGAAGTCTTAGAGAACAGCACATTGGCAGAACACAGTTGTTATCCCAACATTGGATGCACTCTGAATAGCAGAAAAGGAATCTCAATATAGGACTATTAGCTTTAAGCACTAGGCTTTCGTTTTCTAAACAACTATTCAGAACAATTAGTAGAGTCGTCTTGCATCTGAAAACTGATAACTCTTGCTTCAAAAACACTACATCGATAACTTGTCGAACAGAAAGTGTGCTTTTGGAAGTGTGTGTGTGGTTGTTACTTTCCTGTTGCCCATGCCGTGGAAATTAACTGATTCTTCGGGTACCTGAAACAGAGAGAGGGCTAGTGTTGCATGACCGCAGAGCCCAGAGGACGACTGCTTGAGGCCGGTCATACACTGCCGGTATGAATGAGTTTCTTGGTTCGGTTCCGTATTAGTACCACAGGGATGTACAATTTTCGGCGTCAACCTTTTCTAAACCCCTCTCTCCAGAGTGGAGAGACATCATAGCTGACATGCTGGTCGTCTGAGGGAAACACCTCACTGTTGTTACACCCCTGTTCCCCAGCAGTACTACTTCACCCACAGACCCCTAACATAATGTAAGAAAATTCTTACACTATGCTTATAACTGCTTTTAGTCTAATCGCTATCCTAACAACCTTCCTGGCATGGTAGGACCTTCAGGAACAATAGTTCCAGCGAGTGTAGCTCGTTGAATCATCGCGATATGCAAGCCCGACCACCACGTCAAGGTAGCAGCTATCGATCAGGGTCGAACAGAAAAGAGTCAAATGTGAGGAAATTGGCATCAACCCTGGTGATCGAATTGAGGCTAATAAATTCTCAACAGGTACAACACAGGTTTCTGGATGTTACAAGAGAATAACTATCATGATTCGAGTGTAGGAAAATGTACAATAGCATGATTCTTCATTGTATTGTAATTCTGAAACAAAGACAATTATTAAATGAATGTCATGTAAGAAACTCCAAGTGATTGACGATCGTTGCATTCCTGCTGCCCCCCCCCCACGTATTATGAGGTCACTAAACAAAAGACGCAGAGTTGTATATCTATTAAGTATACGGGTTTCTAAGGTTGTAGAACTTTATTAACTTAGCTTAACTTACACATAAAAGTACCCGTTCACTTCAATGTACTAGTCTTAACAGATGGTTGCAATAATGCGCAACTTCGATCTGTGTTCGCAATCTATATTATTTTTTTCTGTTTTATTCCTTTGTGCTCCTAGGGAAACATGGGGCTTCAAGTTTAAGCTTTCAAAGTTTCAGTAGCAATCGTACTTTTTTTTTACCGCATTGGGTTACTAACCTCAGTCCCAACCCTCCCCCTTTATCGCACCTACTACCGGTTAGGCGAGGCTTAGGTGTGTATCGGTCAGAAATCCAACCCCGGACCATGTGTGTGGTTGACAGCTACCCTAACACTGAATCACTGATCCACACACCAACCTGTATAGCATCCTCATATTTATCGTTGTATAGCAGGGTGCGTGATAATTCACTCTGCAGTGAAAATCGTAATGAACAGTATTAAAATATCCCATATATTGCATGTTTTGCCTGTTAATCTTGAATCAGAGTTACTTAGTCAAAGTAATTTAAAGTGTCTGTCGTATAGTTGACCTTATTTGAAATTTTATAGCCTTCGTGTGTTAAGAAGTTGTTGCTTGCGTGGAATAAGTTGAGAGTTGTACATGAGTAACGCTATTCGCAAGTCCATGAGTTGTGACACTTAATTAAAGTTGTTTAGTGGTCAGCTATCACTAGAAGAATATCAAGCAATGACGATGATGATGATGATTACTGCTCGCTTTTCCCCCGCCTAGGGTAAAGTAGTATTTCTGGTCATACAACTTTCTGTAGAGAAGAGGAATTTGAATAAAGCAAGAACAACAGTGGTTTGTGCAGAATAATATGGTACCATCATTTATTTCGTTGGCTTCTCCTCAGCTGCTTACAGCCTAAATAAATTACGAGGTTTAAGTAAAGAAACGTTTTAACATACTTGCAAATTTTACATGTTGTCAGTTGACAGAAAGTTCCACAATTAGTAAACAGTGCTCAGAAAATTGCGCCTATATAGTTTTTACACAGGCAGTTCAAGTTAAAACAAAATAAATGTGTGCATATAATGGTAAAGGAGTTACATAATAAAGATGACATGTGCGTTAGATGCATAGTGACTAATAAGTTAGGTAACAATGTACTGAGTTGAACTCAAATCATAGAAACAAGAGACAAGCAAAATTACAGATTATAAAAGGAGGGTGAGGTTAAAGACAAAGATTACGTAATCAGATGAGAGAAAAAAGACATCCAGTTACCAAGGCAAGGAAAGACTAGTAACTGCTTCTTTCTGAACACATAAATCTGGTTTCAAGCGTTTAATAGAAATTGCTTCGGCAAACTTGAGGAGAATGGAGCTCCCCTGTCTATTGATAATTCTGAAGGATTTCTCAATTTCCACCTCATGACCCGTGTCGAGGAGATGTCTGGTAATAGCGCTACTATAAGAGTTTGTTCCCTTGAGACGTAGGCTTTTCAGCACATGTTCAGAAAATCGGAGGTGTGCCCTTCTTTCTGTTCTCCCAATGTAACTGCTCCAGCAGATACACGTAAATTTGTATACACAGCTGGAGCTAACATGAGAAGTGTATCTATCGACTTTTGACTGCACCAGAGAGCATGTTGTTCGATGGACGGGAACCAACTTAGCTGCTGTTGACCATTTCTGCAATGTCTTCACCTTTAAAATCTAGATGAATGAAGACAGACTTTTTTCAACTGTAATTTCATAATCTGTAATTTTGCTTGTCTCTTGTTTCTATGATTTGAGTTCAACTCAGTTCATTGTTACCTAACTTATTAGTCACTATGCATCTAACACACATGTCATCTTTATTATGTAACTCCTTTACCATTATATGCACACATTTATTTTGTTTTAGCTTGAACTGCCTGTGTAAAAACTATATAGGCGCAATTTTCTGAGCACTGTTTACTAATTGTGGAACTTTCTGTCAACTGACAACATGTAAAATTTGCAAGTATGTTAAAACGTTTCTTTACTTAAACCTCGTAATTTATTTAGGCTGTAAGCAGCTGAGGAGAAGCCAACGAAATAAATGATGGTACCATATTATTCTGCACAAACCACTGTTGTTCTTGCTTTATTCAAATTCATCAAGGGGAATAAATGCATGAAGAGAGGAGGAAATTCTTGTAGTTGCTAATTGTTCACATGAGTAACGGTCAGCAATCATGAACACTCGACGATTTTCTTGTATATTTTTCTAGTAAACTAAAAGTGCACTTCGGCACAACGAGTAAGAGACAACTAAATAATTACAGTTATAATAATATTCAAAATAATATCATGGATACTAATCGTACAGTTAATGTATTGGGTGTTTATCAAAATGCTAAAATCTGATTGGTTACTCGTTTGACTAACAGATGAATAGTATTTGCATAATTTGAAGCTTCATTGAAAGACTGTTAGGAAGAATAGCACTTTCATAATGTTGTATTAAATGTGTGAGCTACATTTTGAGGCCCTCAATTCCAAATAATCATTCTGAGTTAAAAACTCCACTTGGGACACATTGACCCTAACCTATACTGTTGTATAATAATATACACAGGTGCGCACAATCGATTACCAATTGACTTAGTGCATAAAACTGTACTCAGTGATTCAGTTGCACTATACAAAATTGTTCATAGAACTGTGGCATTCTAAGGAACACGAATTAAATTGCAATTTCAACTATATATTCAATTGTTGTATTCGTCGGTGGTTAGAACTCTCCTGGACCATGCACAAGGTCCGAGGTTCGATCCCCTGCCGACGCACACTTGATATCAATGGTTGGCTTGCCAAATTGGGCTACCGCTATCACATGCTGAGAATTCCATACTTGTATCAAAAATACGGTTTGGAATCATGCTATAATCAAAAATAAAAAAAAGAAAATCAATTACTTATCATTTAGTATGGATGAAAACCTGTTATTCAGTACTTAAAGCATACAGTAAACATCCTATTTATTATTTACAGAACAAGGAAATACAGTTCTTCCCACAGTATCCTTTATTTATTTGTTTGTTTATTTATTAGATAAACAGCGAAAAAATCAATGGGAAAATGGTTTAGTTTGGGATGAAACATTTTTCATTAAAAGTGGACACATTTTACATGGACATGTAGCGTATATGCCACATGTAATCATTGAATTGATGCTTTTGTTGGAAGAGAAAATGTAAGTAGTAACACGGGTGTTACACAATTTATAAGCCTTATTTTTATTCCTCTTAACAGTTTCGTTAATTCTTGAATTGTGAGAAACAAGTAACTCATCAGAATAAACTAAAAGAATACAGATGATAGCATAAAATCACGAGATGAAAAAGTTATAATTCATGGATCACTGAATTCTCGTCCATGCGGCTGAATAGTCCACAAATTGGCGAAATTCTACAATGGTGTCCTAGGAGTGCTAACGTTTCCAATGACCTTGGACAGATGCTAGTCGTTAGCTTACAACACCTGCCATTATCATAGCTGAAATATCAACGCTATTCACCAAATGAGGAGCAAATTTCCCCCAGATCACTTTTTTTAGTACTGTTTGGTCAATGTGTGAATAGCTCTTTAGGGTTAGGGTTACGATTATAGATAGATTTAGAGTTGATGAAATTTATTTGAATTTGTTTTATTATCCACATTTTCCTGGTAAGTAGTCGTCAGTCCTCTTACTGGAAACCATAGTAATTCAACCGAGGGCTTTCGGGGAACACTGCACAACAGGATGAGGTAGATAAACGATTTAAAAAAGCAGCTCATCTTTAGTCACCTCGGTGAATAGATGTACAGAAACTATTCCAACATAGCAACTGATACTCTTCATTATAACTGGGACGTATTTTAAAGTCATGTGTTTTCATGCATTTTCTTGTAAATATTCGCTATTTTTGTGCAAAAATTCCTCAATTTTATGATTGGTCGGCTCACGATCACTCCTGCGTTCGCATCCCTTGGGACGCAGCTGTTCAACTTTGCCCACAAATTGGCCTCTTAACCTCCATGTCTTGGGTTCGACCCCTGGTGGGGTCGTTGGTGCACACTGCTGAACAGTCTCAAACCAGGATGAAACAGCTATCTGGTGTTCCTTGGGTTTCAATAGTCTCTCTAACTGATTTTGGTTCGTGGGGAAATCTACATTGGAATTAATTCAAATACCTAGTCTAAAACACAGGAGTAGAACACAAACATAGTAATAATAGCACATAACTTTTTAATTATTTCATTCTATATGTGATATAGTGAAACAGTATTATTTACTGGATAACATTTTGAATGCAGTTTATTTAAATTAAATTTAAGTCTATAATATTGATCGTATATGATAGATATATATATATGTTTTAGAAATTATATCCGGTGAGGGAATTAGGTCAAAGGTGTGAATACATGAAATAATAATAGTATGAAATGCACTTAAAATATTCGTGATTATAATCATGGTTTAATGTCAAGTGGCAAAATAATTAATGTCATATACAGAATAATACATAAGGTGTATACGTGTTGGAAAGGGATTTACAAATATAGGGTAATATGGTGTGAAATCCGATAAGATATGATTCAACATTGCAAAAACATTTTTAGAATTAGAATGACAAGTTGGACAAATGGAAACAATGCAGAATGAGAATAGTAATAATAATAGTCGTAATAATGAGGGAAAAGTACATAGATACACTAGATACGAGCTTGCCTTGTAACCGAAAGGTTGTGGGGTCTTACTGCCGATGATTCCCAAAACAAAAATTAAACAGCCGTCTGGCAGTACTCCCTGGTTTTCAATGGTTCTCTAACTGATATCAATCCGTGATCAACTCGTAAACACATAACTAAATAAACAAAATAAAAAAATGTCTATCTCTACTTCTGACTTGGGTGTAGAGGGATAGACATTTATTTATTTATTTATTGAACCTATGTACTTTCCCCTCGTTACTACGTTTATTATTATTATTCTCATTCTGAATTGTTTCCATTTATCCCACTTGTCATTCTAATTCTAAAAATGTTTTTGCAATGTTGAATCATATCTCATCAAATTTCATACCATATTACCCTATATTTGTAAATCCCTTTCCAACACGTATACACCTTATGTATTATTCTGTATATGACATTAATTATTTTACCACTTGACATTAAACTATGATTATAATCACGAATATTTTAAGTGCATTTCATACTATTATCATTGTTTGATTTATTCACACGTTTCGTCTAATTCCCACATCGGATATCATTTCTTAAAAACTATATATATTTACACTTGTATGCCTTGATAATAAATTCGTTGATGTGTCTCTTCGCTGAATATTATATTCATAATGCTACAATGGTAATTATTAAATTATAATATTAATACCTAGTTTTTGGTTTTAAATGTGGATCTGTATGTTCATTGTGGTTTCAAGGGTATATAGTTATTCATTAACAGTATGTCTAATTCTTCCATTAATTGCTGAAGGTTAGTCAGTCTTAATTAGTTTAGATTACGAAGAATAATAGTTGAAGAAGTTAAAATAATAGACCAAGTAGACTGGTTAAGTAAAGTATATTCAGTTAGTAACTACAACATATTAAAGTGTCTCCCAAATCAGCTCACTGATAGTTTTTATAACACAATAAAAGCAGCTGGTCGAGTGTGAGGACAAATACTCGCCGAAGACATTGGCTAGGGGTCGCGCTATGTCGTGAATTGGCAGAAGTTAGAATTCAAGGACCATTGGATCGGGTCCCAGTGGCTTAATGGTATACGAGCTCGCCTTGTAACCGGAAGGTCCTGGGTTCGGACCCTGGCGGTGGGTGCGTACTGCTGAAGAGTCCCAAACTAGGACGAAACAGCTGTCCAGTCTTCCCAGGTTTTCCAATGGTTCTCTAACTAATGTCAGCTCATGATGAAATCCTAAAACTAATTAAGTTCAAAAATGACCTCTAGTTTAAAAACTTCATTTGACTTCAGTCTTTAGTAAGCCTTAATGCAGTCTTTGTGTGTGTTTGTGTGTGCTTAGAATAACTTATAATATGTCCTTTTAACTTAACATAAGAACAAAGTATTCAGCGAATTTATTATCAAGCTCTACAATCGTATATATATATATATATATATATATATATATATATATATATATATAGTTTTATAAAGAAATTATATCCGGTGAGCGAACTAGGTCAAAGGTGTGAATACATGAAATAATAATAGTATGAAATACAATTAAAATATTCGTGATTATAATCATGGTTTAATGTCAAGTGGCAAAATAGTTAATGTCATATATAGAATAATACATAGGGTGTATGGATTTTGGAAAGGGGTACATAATTATAAGGTTAGTAGACGAATATAAAGTATTACATAACATGGTGTGAAATTTGATTAGATAGAATTCAATATTGTAAAAATAAAACATATATAAAAATTAATAATTTTGGGTTTAAAATGACAAGTGGGTCCAGTGTAAAAGATTCAGAGTGAGAATAGTAATAATAATAATGATGATAAAAATAATCGAAGTAATAAGGGAAAAGTACATAGAATAACTAAATAAACAAAATAAATCAATATCTATCCCTCTACGGCCAAGTCAGAAGTAGGGATTGCACGTGCTTCTTTCGTACACAAAGATCTGGCTTAAAGTCCTGAATTGCGAAGGCCTCAGCTGTCTTTGGAAGTCTGTAACGAATAAAACGCGTGAAGTTAGCATGGATTCTATATATGATCTTGAAATGATGTTCAGACTTGACCGAGTGACAGAAGTCGATCAGGTGTTCCAGAATAGAGCTCCGCACACACTTCCTTTCTCCCTTGTAAAACCATGTGGCTGGAATATGTTCGTGTATCCGTGTGGAAAGTGTTCACTGACTACGGTGAATGTACCTTGCTCCACAAGAGCAGGTGAACTGATAGATGCACATGGAGGTGGCCAGACGGGGAAGTTTATCTTTTACAGAGGTAGAGAACAATTTGTGACTCGTGAACGTCATATGCACTTTTGCTGCAAAGAACGTCTAACTGACTGATTTAGGGAGACGATTTTTGAGCATATCTGAAGCTTATTCACCTTTGAATTCCAAGTTCATGAAAAAGGTTTTCTTTGGAACTGAGTCGGTGACCAATTTAGACTGCTTATCTTTCATGTTGCTGTCAATAAATCGGTTAGGGCAATTGTTTTCTGCGAGTGTGGCTTTCAAGAAGTCAAGTTCTGAGTCGACGCAATCAGAACTACAAATTTTCCTTATTTTAAAGCAGAGTGAATGAATTAGGTTCCTTTTCCTGGAAATAGGCACCCAACTGTAAAATTTAGTTAGTTGTCCGTTCCATGTACGTTTCCGGTGGATGGATCTTTTGAAAGATCCGTCGTTACGTCTGCTAAGTCACACATCCAGTAACGGAATACTTAGTTCGGATTCCTTTTCTATGGTGAACTGTAAAGAAGGATGCCAGTTGTTGTAAGCAAACAAGCCATCATCAAGAACTACGTTATTATCTCAGATGACGAAAGTGTCGTCTACGTATCTTTTATAAATGTCAAAATGACCGATGGTTTGACTAATTTGAGAATTTTCCAGCTTTGCCATAAAACAATAAGCCAACAAGGGACCCAGTGGTGATCTCATGGCAAAGCCAATTCTCTGTCTAAAGATCTCATTATTGAAGGTGAACTGAACATTCAACGTGCATCTCAATAAAAGCTCTTTGAGGTGGATTGTCGGTAAACCTATTTCCAAACTATGTGTATCAATATAATCACATAAATAACTAACAGTTTCCATGAGAGGAACATTGGTAAATAACGGCGCCACATCTAATGAGAACAGGACTTTTTCAGAGATATTAAAATCTTTAATGCTATCAGTAAATTTAAACGTATCATCAATGGAAAACTTAGATACTTGCCTTCCGACTGGTTCCAGTATTTCCGCTAGCCATTGAGCGATTCCGTGACAAGGAGAGCCTGCCATATCGAAGATTGGACGGAGGGGTAATTCTGTCTTATGTATTTTCGGTAGTCCATACAAACGTGGTATCATGAAGCCTACTGTTCGGATGCGTTAATATATATTTTTGACGAGATTGCTGACTTATTCCTCATGTTCTTTAGGACATCAGTCAGTTGATTTTTAATTAGTTGTGCCTTGTTCTTTTCACCATCGGGTTTGGCGAATTTTGTTTGGTGAGAAAGGATCGCTGAAATTTTATCATTATAATCTTGGCGATTCATAACTACAACACCCCCACCTTTGTTTGAACGGCATACAATAATATCATCATTCTTCTCTAGTTCTTTAAGTTGGTATATATGCTCTTTAGTCAGACGATTATTCTAGCTAGGTTTTGAACTAGTAAACTGATGACAGCAATCAAGAACTGTGGACTTAAAGTGTTGGAATTCCTAATTCCCTCACCGAATATAATTTCTTAAAAAACCATGTATATACGATTGTACAGCTTGATAATAAATTCGTTGAAAAGAGTCTCTTAGCTGAATATTGTGTTCTTAATGCTACAATGGAAATTATTTACTTAACCTAAGTCTATTTTCTCACCTCTTAACTCTTTATTAAATATATTTTAGAAAAGAATGAAATTCGAAAAGCCTAAAAAGTGACAATGAAATATAATGCCGATGAAATACTAACAACACATATTTCTTATTCGAATCAGACATATTAGAACCTGACGTCTTATCGAATAAAAAAAACGGTTTAGAATTTAAAAAAACAATTTTAAACGAGAGTAGCAGAAAATTAAAAATAACGCCTAAGCCACTTGAACTAAAATTTAAAATGCTGGAAAGCACTAGCTATAATCGATTCTCCTTAGATTATCAATGAAGTAGCTTTCCCACTAAACCTTTAATATTATACCATTGAATTCAATTGGTGGATGGTGACTAGCAGTGGAATTCACCAGAATGCCCATTTCGTCCTATTTGGGATTCGTCGTCTGGGTGTACCTGCATTCCTGGGTGAGTGATGATGTTCCCACCGAGCCTTGAAGCCAGCGTCCATAGTTTCAAACGCCAAAGCGTTATCCACTAGACCACTTGGACCACCTCTTGTGCAATGGGTCTTATTAATTATACAATTCAATTTAGATTTTCCCGTCGACTGATTGGACCGAAGTGCTGGATTTCAGGTTGACATGTCGGCTCTTTGTCCAGGTGCTTAGACGGTATCTGGTTTTGTAACTTGAAGTCAATTGATGGATACTGACTAGCAGTGGAATCCGAAGTGATGACAACCAACGATGCTCTCTAAGGATTCCCTGTGTCACTGTTCATACTTAATGTCATCATAAATGTACTGAAGGAGATGACTCGGTCTGACTTCAGTGTCCCAGAAACTAACCCGTGACCTAGTGAATAGCTCGACGCTTGAAAGTTGTCAAGCGATATAATCCTATCGACTGAAGGCTCTGACATTACAGTCTCTTAAACACTCTAAGTGAAAATATGATTACATTTGGTGTGCGTATCACTCGTGTCAAATGAAAAATAATACAGGACTGCCTTACTCCAACTCCTAGTTCAAAGATAAGCAGTGAATTTGTCAACCACTTCACTTATTTGGAAAGTTGCATCAAGCCTAATGGACTGGCTGTTAAGGAAATGTGGTCATGAATAATATGGGTTCATCCAGCATTTACTAGTCTCTCATCTTTCACATCAATGAGTCATCTGATTATCCATCAAAGTGTATGTAGTGTTGCTCAGTAAAACACTGTCGTAATTTGTGGCCGGAAGTAAACGACAAAGAAAATTACAAATTTTCTATTGTATGTAAGGCAAAGTTCTACAATAGCGTCGCAAAGGATGCGAACGAACGAGTGACCTTGAGTCGACCAATCACAAAAATAGAGGACTTTTGCATAAAAATTTACGTATATTTACATAAAAAAGCATGAAAAAAACATTAAACAGGGTATTTTTGTCTAATATGAGATAAAAAGATGTCCCAATTATAATGAGGAGTTTCGGTTTTTAAATTAAACCAATTCCAATACATGTATTCATATAGAAGACTGAAAATAACTTGATTTTGAGATCCGTTTATAGCTTTTATTCTATTTCCTAGTCTTCCCCAGAAACCTTCTATTGAATTAGTATAAGTACCGGTTCTGGGATCGACGAAGTCATTCACACGGTTAATTCAATGGTGTATATATCCCAAATCGGATAATCGGTTATATGCTGCCCATTCAGCCGTGTGAATGGTAGTGCCTGGCAAGACGAGTCTCTGGATAATAAGGAGGACAGTCTCAGCACTCCTATCGGGAATAAGCTCAATAAATCTTTTTCCAATTTGGGTGTCATAAATCTCCAATACCCGAACGTTATTTCCTCTAGCATTTCCCCGATTATATTTCTTCTTAATAAGGACCGTTTCGTCGATATGAACCACTACGCCGACTCCTCCAAAAACTTGTGTAGTACTGTTCATTTTCCATGACGCCAAGCCTTGACAAAATTGGAACCATTGCACAGTAGACGTCAATGTATTATCTATTTGAGCGGCACTTGATCTCACCCCGGACTTCAAAATCCAGTAATAGCACAGAAACAGTATATTCGTCAACGAAAGTTGCGATATGTCAAAGAAAGTTCCTAGAAGACAATTTACTGAGAGTGTCATTTACCAGTGCGAACACTTGTTCGTTTCCTACACTCTGTACATCTAAATATATATCCATTATTGGTTTGGGAATATGGCTGCAGGTTCATTGAAGCACCACAGCTACATATACGAGAACGTCCAATCAATCAATTATCTAGGCAGTATTGAAATACGTGATCTGGGTGAAATTTGCATCTGAGCAGATGAATACCTTTCATTTTCGGGCTACAATAATGGTAAGTTTCCTCAACCAACGACTAGCAAGCGTTCAAGGTCATTTGAGCGTTCTCACCCCTGGGATACTATTCTTGAACTTCGTCGTATGTAATTTCGTTCAACTGCTCATGTTAGGTGAAGTAACGATATTAAAAATTTTAAGTTCAGCCTTAAAGTTTTAGTCAGCTTTAGGAAGTGAGTTGACTGATTACGTTTTTAGTTGAAAGAAAGTGAGGACTGATCACACACGAAGACATTGCACCAGTCCATGTAGTCATTGACTATTTAACTGATCTATGTGGACAGGTTTAGGTTGAGTAATTGTTATTCTAAGGATACTAAGAATTATTGTTTTAACAGTCTTAGATCATGTTAACCAAGTAAATTATTTACATTATTCCCTATTAAAATCCACTATATAGTTCATGTATACTCTTGTATTTTTGTAATCATACTGTCACACTTTTTAACAGACATTTTTTCCTACAACATCTTTTTCAGTGGTCATCTCCCTGATCATTTAAAATTCGACAGAAATAATTTTGAGGTAATCGTTTGGTTTCTTTTTGTTGTGTTTAAATTCTTCATTTCTGCATTGATCCAATTCAGTTCACTTAGGATCACAGAATTTAGCGACTCCAATGTATGAAAATTAAACATACAGAGAACTGATCTTTTAATCGAAGATAATTTATCTTACTGGTTTTTAACATGTATATATTTTAGTGCTTCTACTAAGCCTGTAAACTTTAAAGTATACTGATTAAGTCTGACGTGTAATAAATGTAAGCATCTAATATCTAGTCCCGTCGTTGGTCCAATGGTAGAATGCTTGGCAACCCCATAAGATTTCCGAGTTCAATTCCCGACCGTAGCATTCCTTGACCTCACTTAATGAATTGGATAAAAGTAAGCTTGGAAAAGGGTTAAGGTTGGGTGTGAGGTTAGCAACCCAACCCTTTTTAAAGGGGAGAAACAATATCTCTATGTTCCACCCATTAAACAAATTAACTCAGAATCTATGATAGACCACTTACTGGATCCATCATTTTTGTTGATTGCATATGACGACAAAAAAAATTTCAAAGCAAGGAGATTTCCTAAGAATTCCATAAGATAATATAGGTGGTGAGTGGTCACCGCAAAATAATTATCATCACTTTCTGCTGACCTGTCACTTCCGCATTTCCTTGAAAACGTTCGGACAAGTTTGCTGAACGAAACGTTCAAATTACTCATTTCAGTTTTGCTGAGATTTTACAAATTTAATTTTCGCATAATAATTTTTGCAAATAACTTGAAAGTAATCACAATAATGTAAACATCATTAGTGAAATTGTTATTTTAAAAATAAAATGAACTCGGTCTATCTGCTCAGATTTCCCCAAAAATCTAACCACCAGTTCAAAAATCACTGCACCTAATCTAGTTTACGATTAGATATTAGTGTAACGACAGAAAACAAGGGCCAGGAAACAGATCGTTTATTGAGAAAATCAACAGATATTTATAGATTTTTGTGTGCGTTATTATTAGCTTTATTGTTAACGGACAAGCAGCCTATTCTGATTGGTTGTTTTCTTGCTGAAGGTTATTCTGTTATCTCTTTCTGGCCGTTTCTCAGAAAATCAAGTCATATATCTGCAAATCATATTTCCACATGTTAACTCTGCTGTAACTGGTTGGTGGTTTTCTCAAGGTTAAGCATTGTTATTGTTTTTCCCCTGACCTTGATTCAGGACATGAGCATTGACGTAAATTATTGTTTACAATTTCGGCTTGCAGTCAGCTCTCACCACAGTAGTAATCGAACTCCACTCGCTGATATGGCCTTGCATCCACTTAATTGAACATTGTGCGTTTACTGTTCTGAGTCAGACATACTACCTGTTGTGCGACCATCTAGAAATCATAGGACATTATTTTTTGCCGAAAGCTAGAACCATTGCCTATTAGCCAGTTCCTAATTGCAGTTACAATTAATAGAAGCTTTAAGAACACAATATTCAATGGGAATTATTAAATAGTAGAAGCTTTTCGACGAATTTATTATCAAGCTGTACAATCGTATATATATGGTTTTTTAAGAAATTATATCCGGTGAGGGAACTAGGTCAAAGGTGTGAAGACATGAAATAATAATAGTATCAAATATAATTACAATATTAGTCGAAGAAATATTTACTTTTCAATTAGATCCTCATCTCTGTCTCTACTCTAATATATATATATCATTTTATTACAATACAGAACAATTTACCAATCAAGTAGCGGAATGTTTGTTAATAATAATTAGTCGAAGAAATATTCATTTTTCAATTATTTGTGATTATAATCATGGTTTAATGTCAAGTGACAAAATAGTTAATGTCATATATAGAATAATACATAAGGTGTATAGATTTTGGAAAGGGGTACATAATTATAAGGTTAGTAGACGAATATAAAGTATTACATAACATGGTGTGAAATTTGATTAGATAGATTCAAATAGATTCAATATTGTAATAATAAAACACATATATAAAAATTAGTAATTTTGGGTTTAAAATGACAAGTGCGTTCAGTGTAAAAGATTCACAGTGAGAATAGTAATAATGATAATGATAATGATAGTAATAATAATAATAATCGTGATAATAAGGGAAAAGTACATAGAATAACTAAATAAACAAAATAAATCAATGTCTATCCCTCTACGGCCAAGTCAGAAGTAGGGATTGTACGTCTTCTTCTTTCGTACACAAAGATCTGGCTTAAAGTCCTGAGTTGCGAAGGCCTCAGCTGTCTTTGGAAGTCTGTAACGAATAAAACGCGTGAAGTTAGCATGGATTCTATATATGATCTAGAAATGATGTTCAGACTTGACCGAGTGACAGAAGTTGATCAGGTGTTCCAGAATAGAGCTCCGCCCACACTTCTTTTCTCCCTTGTAAAACCATGTGGCTGGAATATGTTCGCGTATGTGTGTGGAAAGCGTCCTGTGACTACGGTGAATGTACCTTGCTCCACATGATCAGGTGAACTGATAGATGCATATTTCTTAAAAACCAAATATATATACGATTGTACAGCTTGATAATAAATTCGTTGAAAAGAGTCTCTTCGCTGAATATTGTGTTTCCTAATGCTACAATGGGAGTTATTAAATTATTAATAGAAACTTACCAATTCTACGATAAACAATAATTATAAAAAAGTACCTGTATCTTTGTCTAAGTTATACTCCACAGTTATGCTTTTGTTACATACACAACCTATCCCTTTTCGATTTATCTTCTTTGTATTTCAGATTCATTGTATAGACCAATCACATGATTATGGTCATTTGCATGTTAATAAACTGAACCGTGTGCTAGATCAAAGCAAACAGGATTGTTTAATACCCACATTGAACAAATTATGGCGTTATGCACAAATTGCAGAGTTATTCGATGAAAATTTCAATGTTTTTATAAATCTCTATGTTCCTGGGACTATGTACCTCAATACAGACTATACATTACGTTCACCATCCTCATCATGGGATTCTAAGCCTATTAAGCGTCATTTAGCTGTTGTTTTAAAGTTTACTAAACATCCGTAGGTTCACACTGAGTTATTTTGCCTTCTACAATGGATTCTGTAATCTGTATAACTATTTTTTATTCTGTGGTTTTCTCACACAACCCTTTAAGGATGATGTGCATTTCTAAACTGTGTACACTATATATATACATACATATTCAAGTTGTTGGAATTCCTCTATCGTTAGAACTTGTTATCAAGGCATTCATCGATTGAACTGTCTAAGCCATATTAAATCACACTATGATTTTTTATCTCGTCAACATTTTCAGTCATTTCTATGAATTCCTTCGTATGCAGTAACACGTTACCATGTGGTTAGTATACTTCTATGTATTTTAGTAGTATTGTGGCAGTTATCAATAAAAATCGATTGATCATATTTTATGATGGTATAAACTAGTGACTGACTGATCAGAGTATTTCACTACCACTCGTATCAATCAGTACTGCTTATTAGACAAATCGAAGTGATGTAAACACTCGTTCAAAGCCGTACTCACCAACTCTGGATTTGGTCTGATTCATCTCAGAGAGCGGAATAAATTCAAGATACTCGAATTCTGACTAGGTACTTGGGTGAACCGGTAGTACACTGAAAAAATTAGCGAATTCCAAAGGAAACTTAGGTGCAATTTCACTTTGTACTGTATAAATTGTGAGTGTGATTAATGATATTCTGTTTTACACTTCACTGAAGGTACAACAAATGATATGTGATAACTAATGCATGATGCATCATAGTTAGACTGCATTTTTTATCCTACGGGTTCCTAGTGGAAAATAGGGCTTCAAACTTTGAAGTTTCAGTAGAAGGTGTTGTTCGTTTTATGAAATGGAACTGTTAGCCTAACCCCTAACCTTCCCTTCTCCGTGCTTCGCGAACCTCGTGAACCAGGCGAGGTTTAGGTGTGCCTTGGTCAGGGCCTCAAATCCGCCGTTCCTCACACCTGAAGTGAGTATCATATACCTAGACGACTGTTACTAAATCTGTCTCAATATTTGTAACAGGAAGTAGTTCGAGCGTAAGATTAAAGTTACTGCTTAGTTTGTTTGTTAATCGAAATACACTACAATGTTTTGTTCCTAGTTATCTATGAATCACTGTTCTAAAACTAAATGTATTCATATAAAATTAAGGTCAAATAATTTCAACGTAGCACTAATCAATTTATGTTTAACCCAGCTAATATACTCTCTCTCTCTCTCTCGATGTATATAATCAAACAAACACTCAGTGGATGGCATTTTACATTTGATTAGTGTGTAAACAAAAAGTGGTCATTGAATTTTAGCCTATCTTTAATTGTGGTATAGACTAAATATACAGTATCTTGACTTTATAGAACAGCACTAGGCCTTAAAATAGTTAGTGACCCAGTTACTTATCACTACAGTTACGCAGGTATTACGAAGTTGTAATAGCATCAGTAAGTAAATCCAGGCAACTGATTTTAACAATGCAAAAATGGGCATGAATCAGACGCATGCTAAGGAGACCGTGGAGTAGTAACATCATGCGCCAAGCATCGAGTAGGACCCGGTAGAGATCGTTTGAGGGGAGATGACAGTCTATGCACAATCGTGGAGCCAGCTAAAGACAACAGGATGAAATGGAGATGTGGTGTTGAAGCCCTATAATTCCACTCACAACCCAATGGAAGACAATAATCATAAATTATATGTTGATAAACACCAAATAATACTGCCAACTTCCTGTTCCACAGCGTATTTTTGTACTGCATAATACTTCTGTTCAAATTTTAGATTGTTTACCTTAGACTCATCACTGATACTTAATAGTAGTGGTACTGTATTGTAGATTAACAGGAGTTGGAGTTCACAGGCCATTGAATTATGATCCAGTCGTTGACTAATAATGTCTTCTGTTCAAACTCCATAGTCCAATCTCTACTGGGGTTATGGTTGCGCCTTGCAGAAGGGTTTCAAACTGCAATGGGACAGCTGTCCAGGGACCCCTCATTATCAGTGGTTCTCTAACTGTTAATAGTTCACGAAATTTATCTTGAAATTATCTAGATAGTGTGTAAAACTTCTCACATCTCTGGAGAGAGTCGGGATCTTCTGCACTTGCGAATCAACAATTGACACAATAATGTCCTACTCATTATGTCTTATGCCCAAATCTACACCAAATACTTTCCTGGGTAGTTATTTTAGCCAATAACTTACGATATTTAATGATAATAAATTAATAATTGAACTATAAACTGATAATACTATTATACATTTATGAATTTGAATAAAGCAGAATAAAATGGTATCATGATTTATTTCTTTGGCTTCTCATCAGCTGCTTACAGCATAGAGGCATTATTAAGTTTATGTACAGAAACAGTTGTACACAATTTAATATTACTCACTGTTTTTCAACCATATTTTTTAATTTGATGTCTTAAATAACTAATATTTCATCCGTTTATTACATTTGACTTATTGCATTCAGTGAAGATAATACGTATTCCTTGTCGATGCTTCGTCTTTCAAACCCTATGCACCGTGATAAGCTTATCGCAGAGATGGATTCCGCCTTCGATAATTATTTATTGTATGGTGAAAAAGCTTTGTCTGATATTTTAGCCAGTAAGTTTATTGTATTGTGTACTTTCCATTAAATGAATGTGATGCGTGTTTTTCAATCATTTCTTAAGTGATTACAATACAAATTTTGAAATGACTATTTGAGCGTAAGATTGCACTCCTAGCAAAAACTATCAATCCTCAGGAGCATAAAGAAAAATAAACTTGAAAAACGTAGAAATAAATTTTCTTACTGTACCAGTTTCTAACAGTGAATGAATCCACTTGCTTATTAGCCTTAGAAAGTACGAATTATGGTTCCTGTTTATTGACTTCCGCTAAATATTGAGCTCACTTGTTTATTTTGACATTGTTTCCCGTGCTTTTTCTCTTATCAGTGTTCAATGTCCACTCTACTCGTATTCACCCTTTCTTAATCTTCTCCTATTCATGATTCGGTCAGCCATAGCTGGAATCCATTCAAGCTGTGTATCTATCTGCCTTTAAAATTCATTGTCTCCAAATAAAAGGTGAGGTTAGGCATAAACTGTTAGGTGGTGAGGGAATGTCAATCGATAAGGTTGTGAAGCTGTATCGATATAGACTGCTAGGAGATGTGTTACGCATGTCGAGCCATCGCCTTCCACTTTCACCTATTTTAACTGCTGACATCAGACCGAGGTGAGAAAAAAGCGTTAAGAGTGGTGAAATTAAACCATAGCACCATTCTGTGTAATCTTTGACTGTTGGTATGTACCACTTAGGAATGTTCAGGCTGCCTGTCTGGAAAACTTGTAAAGCCTGTGAATAATCGATGGCTGGCGACTTTCGGTGAAATGACTAAAAATCTTTTTCAATTGTGCAGATGTTTTCACTCTTTTGACTTCCTAGAGTCAATAAAAATTTAGAAACTACTTCAACACCACGGCGTGCAGTACTCAAATCTTTATCAAGCTCATTCAACAGACGGCTCGCTATATGACGATGCCACGTGTCAGTCAGGTGGTCCACGACGGAATACCACCCAGAGAAGCTTTCGAAGTGAATATAGTGGTAAGACAAGCTGGCTGGCTGCCTGCCTATTACCACCCACGATGATATTCCTGACCGTAGTGGACTGGATTATGCGGAAGATTGTGCGTTGGAAGTGAGAAGACAGGAATACGCTGCACTGACCGATTGAAGGCTCTGGAAGATCTAAATTTCGCGGGTGGATGATTTATGTTTAATGTCACACACACACACACACACACAAACTCGAAGACTTAGAGACAGGTGGAAAGCAACAAACTAGCAGAAGATGCGAGCAGCGAAGACAGGACTCCAGGTGAACGTAGAGAAGGGAAAGACGGAGGTGATGAAGATAACCAAACATTCGATCGACCAACCAACCAACAATAACAACAACCAGTACCAATCACCATCAAATTGAGAGATATGACAGAGGTTACTTCAATCCCTTCACTTCTCTGGCTAGGAAGTACCGTTTCAACCACAGGCAGTCGGACAGCACGTATGAAGTTGTCAACACCAGCCAGTCAGAACCGGAAAGGCAAGGCGCTCCTTCATCAACCTGAAACCAGTTTGGAAATCTTCTGCTTCACTCAGCCAGTGTAAAGAACGAGATCCCGATTCTGTTCAACACAAATGTCAAGTCGGTCCTTCTAAACGGGTCAGAAACTTGGCCAGTGTGTGACAAAAGGATTTCCAACAGGCCACTGCAGACTTTCATCAATAGCTGCCTTCACTGGCTGCATACTGAATATCAAATGGCTGGCCAGAGACAATTAGCAGGAAGAAATTCTGGCAGGCAACAAACCAAGCAGGTGAGAGCCGGTCGCTCAACAGGTATGTAGGATAAAATGGAGATGGATTGGGCATACATTTACGAGGCCGCCGAATGACACCGCACGCAAGGCCCTTGAGTGGAATCCCAATGGGAAGCAACGATTGGGTTGTCAACGCGAGGGTGGCACGGAGGAGATCGTGTCGCGTGAAGGAGATGAAAGATAATGGGCAACCGTGGTCTGAGCTGAAAAGGATGACAGAAGATATAACGAAGTGTAGATGTTTTGTTGAAACCGTGTGTTCCACTTGGAAGCCAAGAGAATAATGAAATAATAATATCAACTATAGGCTCAATAAATCTTCCTTATTCTCCATGTAATTACTATTTCGCTTGTTATCTGTTCATCAGCGAGAAAATAAATTTAACACCAGTGGCTCTGAGTCAGTCATTCACGTTTAGTCTTTATACAGAGTTGTATTCTGTTTGTCTTGTGTGCTTTTATATCATTAACGATACAAGTGTTATTTTCTTCTGTTGTGTTGCTCATTTCATTCACCTGTATGTCAGTGAACCAGTGTGAAGTATTATAGTTGTGTTGTATGATTCTACAATGTGTGTAAATATATGCTGAATGTTTTTGTCCATTTTGTGTGTTTTAAGATTCTTAATATTAAAACAACTCTTTATGAATTCATTTATTTTAACTTGATTAACTTGTCACGTATTTCATGGATATTTTCGCCTTTCGGACTGTGGGTGTGTGTGTGTGTGACTTTCAAAAATGTGATAAATTTTTCTTGTTTAATTTTGCATCTTAAATAATGTGCTTCGGATGACAACAAAATAAGAAAATAACTGAAATTCTCTGAACTTGAGATTGTCCAGTATCCATTGGTGGGGTCATAAAAATTTTGTGAGACTTAGTTTTAACAATAACAACAGTGTCTCTGTATTTTGTTTTGACACTAGTAACTAGTGTGATGCGTCTAGTCTTCTGATTGGTGTAGACTGAATTCTACCAGTCAGGTTGTAATGTGACCACCATTCTAGCTAGCTCGCCATCACGGTGCACATTGATTTGATGTTATTAGATGGTAACGTCTCTGACTGCATCACTGCATCAGAGACGTTACCACTGACTGCACTGGGCGACGCGGGTTCGAATCTCAGAAGGGACATGAGTTCCTTCAAGGTTGCAGATACGCCTCGCTGACGAGTGCCAACTAGCACAAAACCTCGGTCCAAGGCTTCCTGTGGCCGATTGCCTCCAACCATCTAATACCATCAAATCAGTGTCTCTGTATATTTCTCAATAATTGGAATCATCCTGTCGCCTTTTACACTTTATGTGCTCAATTTGTTTATTATTATTATTATCATCATTATTATCTTCCTATATTCAGGCCCAAATATCAAAGGTGATTTTGTTGATTCATCCTCATTTACTGAAAATAAACACTTACAAAATGCATTGCAAAGCATATTTGATTGGCTTTATTACTGGAGTATACTGAAACCTATTGCATCGTATCATAGTTTCCGCATTGGTTACAGTATGGCATTGGGTATGTTACGTGCCATAGGATTGCAGCCAACTGTATTTTTGCCTAAATCCAAAATTGATCTAGAAATGGAGTCCATATTCATTGGTTCATCTGAAAAATTTGGTGAATTATGTCGTAATGTATTAGGGCTGTCTGGGTAAGTTAATCTCATTTAATACAAAAATGTATGTACACTTTATCATTCGCATAATGCATACCTGCATTTCTGATGAATGTTCTTCTTACATTACAGTAATTTTTTTCAGGTGTTGGGTTGTAGGGATTTGATTGGTTATAGCATTTCATCATGAGCTGACATTGGTTAGGGAACCATTGGAAAACCTGGGAGAACTGGACAGCTGTCTCGTCCCACTTTGGGTCTCTTCATCAGTACGAAACCCACCGGGATTCGAACCCAGGACCTCCTGGTTACAAGGCGAGCTCGTATACCATTGAGCCACTGGCACCCGATCCAATGGCCCATGAATTCTAACTTCTGCCGATTCACGACATAGCGCGACCTCTAGCCAATGTCTTCGGCGAGTATTTGTCCTCACACCCGACCTACTGATTTTTTTGTATCCCGGTATATAATCAGGTGTTCGATGCCTATAAGCCATCACAAAAAGTTCCTAATCTTGGGTCACACACTTCTTACGGCTAGTTTATAAATACTATCCGTAAACTTAAATAAACTAATGCTTATTTTGAGAGGTCAACCTATATTATTCAAGGTTACGAACAAAGATTTTATCAATTAACGAAATATTCGCATATTGAGTCATAAGAAAAAGGCACAAACAGCAAAGAAAATTGTCTTTTCGACGATTCATTTTCATGAGCTGTACAATCGTAACTATATTAAACAAAAATATCTTTAGACCAATCAGATACTGATGAACATTTTCCTCGGAAAATTTATTATTACAGTGTAAGGTGTAAGAAGGGATGACTAACTGTAAGTTAGAAAAGAGAGAGAAGTAGGCATGACGTAATAAGTGTGAGATAATGACTAATCAATAAGCTCTTATAGAATGGACAGGAACTAGTGGAACGGCGATAAAGTGTTTTCATATGAAATCTGTATGAAGAAGCAGTGTTATTAATAAACAATAATAGAGTGGTAATAAAATGTGGATGATGGGAATAATAATGATAATAAAAGTATTAACAATAACAATAATAGTGAACTTACATAATGAAGGAAAGAAGCAAAATTGTAGTAAGAAGTTTACTCTGGTCATGGTAGGGCGAAAGAATGCATGTATCGCTTTTGAATGCAAAAGGTCCGGTCTCAGATCTCGAATAGCTAATGCTACAGCTATGTACAGATGGCGTATCCGAACTCCCTTTGTACGATATTGAGGGACTCTGTGTATCACTGCGAAGTATTCATGTGGGGGTGCTCGACGTCCGGAGATGACAAGGTGTTCGAGGAATAGAGCTGCTGTTATTCTTCTTTTCTCCTCTGGCTAACCAAGCTGGACAGTGTTCCAGAATACGTTTGTGGACTTGACGTTGCGTACGGCCAATATACTTTGCTCCACACAAGCAATTAAGCTGATAAATACACATTGAAGTGACCAAAAGCGGTATCTTTTCCTTAGTGTTAGACTGGATTAACTGTCTGCAGGAGAATGTGATACATAGGGTGGCTGTTGGAAATGTCTTCTTCAGACATTTAGAAAGGCGGTTTCTGAGAATTTCCGCTGCGATATCATCTTTGAATTTTAGGTTCATGAAGAGAGTCTTCTTAAGAACCGTTGCGATGTCTGACACCGGAGGTTTCTCCTTCATGTTTTTTCGATAAATCTTGGGGGATACCAGTTCTCTAGTAGGGTTTCACCTAATAAATTTAATTCTTTTGTCACTAAGATATTCACCTTGTCATTGGCTTCTTTTAGGGAACAATTTGAAAAACTAAAATATTGCTAGATAATAATAGCTAGTATTGTGCATTGGTGGCACAGCGATTAGGACGCTTTCCCACTATGCACATGATCCTGGGTTCGATCTCCGGCCACCGACCCACTCCTTTACCTCCCTAAGCCAGTAATGAAGCTGGTGAAGAGAAAACGTTGGGGCATGAGGCTAGCAACCCCATTCTGTAAAAATAAACACCACTGCTACAGAAACTTCAAGTCTCTAGCTTGAAGCCCTATGTTCCACAGGAAACGTGAAGGAATAAAAGACAAAAAAATGTCTAGTACATTGTCGATCATCTAAGCAACCTGACTATTAAGATAAATAACTCTATATCATAGTGAATTTCGATAAATACCGATCAGTCGGATGGATTTTCAGGAATTCTGACTGACTAGTGTTTTAAAATAAAAAGAACTATCGACTTCTAGACAAAGGTCTTTGATAACCCAAATTTCGTGAATTAATTCGCCTTAGATACCACTAAAGCTCAGTTCATCATGCATAGCACGCATAACTTAACATCAAAAGGCCATTCCCATATTCACGTTTTTTGTGACATTTGTCTGGTTTCACATATATAATTCTCTAGTGATTAATAACACCAATAGGAGTAATAATTGATTTTAATGCAACTACTGTTTGATTTGTTTCCACAGGTTATCAAAATCAAGTCTATCATTATCCTGGGAAATTTCACCCGAAGAAGTTATCAAAAGTCCAAAGCATTTTCTGGAATTTTTAAATTTACAGCTAGTATCTAACTGTGCTAAGTAAAAACTGAACGTATCCTTCACTCTGAGATTTTTTTTATGTATTCTTGAAATAGTGTTTGTTATTCCTCTACGCCCTTGTAAAATTATTTTTATTTTATTTGAATAATGATATTATATTCGACTATTTGTAAAACTGTACGGATACGATAATTTCTTTTTAAAGTTTCGGTCGATAGAAATATACGATCTGTTAATGCGATGTCAGGGAAGTTAGAAGTATCTTATATATAATAATATTTAAGTAAAGTGGCCGATCAGTTATTTCAAGTTAATACAAGTAAGAAAGGTAGCACATGTGAAGTCAGTGAATGAGAAATGTTGAACTTGTTGTTACTGTTATCTCTAGTCACCCTTTACTGATGAATGCTGTTTACCTGACTGTTTTGTCATGGTGTAAATACATTTACCTAACCGTCATTAGACACAAAGCTTTTCCAACTTTCTATAACAATAAGTTTTCGAAGGTGGGTAGATGTCGACGGGTACACAAGATATGCCATATACAAATTCAAGTGTATATCCTCCAACTCTCAAAGTACTTGTGCTACTTAGACTAGAGTTAATTTGGAAAAAACCAAATGAGCATCCAAAATATGAAATATACTTCGGTATCAGGAATAAAGAGTGGTGATAACTGCTAGGGTACGTGTACGAATAACCAAATATAATAAGACAGAGTGCCGAATGGCTTGGATGCTTAGCCTCGCACCTTCAGTGTAACCAGTCAACTTAAACAGTGAAGACCCAGTGTTGAATGATGGGGAATTACTATTTGCTACTAAAAAGTCATTGAAATAAATAAAATCCTGAACAGTATTGACCCATATCTTGCAAGACAATGCGGAATCACAACACAACATCAGAAATAGACAATAAAATGTGTTCATGAGGATACAAAATCCTAAATAGTATTGTGGTGAGCTGCTTGCAAGTCAAAATTGTAAACAACAATTTACGTCTATGCTTACGTCCCGATTCGGGGTCATAAGAAAAGACAAGAACAAAGCTGAACGTTGAGGAACTCAACAACCAATCACAGCAGACTTAGTGTGTGTAAATACGGTTCGCAGATATATAGATAACTTTGTAGGCAACGGTCGCAAGCAGTACAGAATAACCTTCAGCAAGAAGAATCAATCAGAAGACATTGCTACTCTGCTAAAAATAACGCTAATATTAATGTACATAAAAATCTATAAATATCTGTTGATTTTCTCGACAAACTATCTGTTGCCTGGCCCTTGTCTTCTGTCGTTACAGTATTAATGTAAATAGTCTTACAACACTGATATATAAGTTAGTAAGCAAACACGTACAGTGTTCACTTGAAATGCTGAAGTTCATACTATGTGAAGTGTAGACAAATAGTTTTATCCTGTAACTAACTCTTAATAGCAACCCTTAACTTTGAGTAAGCAGACAAGTGCATAAACAGTGACTAATCACATGAAATGCCTAATATTTTTAAAGTAATCTTAACACAACTTTACTAATAATGTAAAACAGTCTAATGTAAATGTAGTGCCATAAGGAATAGAAATACTTTCCCTCTTTAGCTTGTCACGTAGGCGAGTGCTGCTAATAATAAATGGACCTTACACATATATTGTAGACAGTGAGATTGGCTTCATTGCAGTGAAAGTTCCTCAATATGTATGCTGGGAAGAACATCCTCGATTTTCGATTTTGTGATGCCACTTGCTCAGAAAGTTTTGGGTCACTAGACAACCTTAAGCCTTATGCGAAGCCATTTTGAAGTCTGCGTAGGTGAGCAGATTGAAGTGATAATTTTGTTCTGACTGGGAGTGCGCCTGTTATAATTACTTGTAATAGTGGTATTTGTATTTCGCAACAACCGAATTAAAGAAATTCAACCAAAACACAGAGGGATGAATTTAGGAATTTGTATTTGGCGGGATTATTATTCAATTCATATAAGAAATATATTAACAAGCAACAGTAAGTATTTAAACAATACAGAGATAGAAACTGTCAATCACCACATCCGCCACATGTCGAATGTCTCCTTGCGTTTTTCTAATGATGTCTCGGTTTGCTTACAAGTCGCTGCAATCTTCTAACTGATTCTGTGATATTATTTTCATCAGTATTATCTGGACTTATTTCTGAATTATCTACAAAATCATGATTAGTAGCGGAATCATTAAAATTATAATCGGAACATCATTTATTCTTACTAGATCCAGGTGTCTGTTATGAACTGAGTGATCTTCGATGTCTAATATCTTCACCATTCGATTTCCCATTTTTTTTAGCATGATTCCAACAGAAGGTCTATAGTCATTTCCTCTGTAATAATGTACATTAGAAGTCGTGGACATCAGATGTTTACTGAGAATTCGAGATTTGAATAGTTTAGCAGGACTTCCATGGGTACTTGTATGCTCTGCATTCAACAGACGCAATCTATGCATATGCAGCAATTCCTCCGTTTTAATAAGTTGCTCTCTTTTCTCAGTGGACAACCAGCCAGCTTCTATTTCACTCACTTTTTTCCGAAACACTCCACACTGATGTTCTAAATCCTTTTGCACACCTGTCGCTGACTCAACAAAACATTAAAGTTCACCTATCTTTTCACTGCTTCGCTTATTCTCAGATTCCAGCTCAACGATTTGAGTTACCAGTCTGCAGATTTCTTTCTCCGTCATTAAACAGGAATTCTCAGCAGCTGAAAGTTCAACAGTCGAATATTTATTCATCACCTGTAAACGACCAACCAATTCATTTATACTTTTCAAGCTCTCTTCAACCTCTAACAAGTTTCTTCGTGTTTTAGACAGATGGCATCGTAACTCCGCCACCTCATTTTTAAAAACACGTGATGAAGTTGACGCTTGAATTGGTGAACTTGTAGTGAAGGTTTTCATTAGATGAGATTGAGTATTGTGAAAAGTTGAAAGAGACATTGACTCCATTTTACTAGACTAATTGGGAGAATCATAAGAATTCTGAGCAACATAAGTATTCGAACTTCTGCAAACAGACTTGATGTGCCCAACTTTACCACATTTATGACACTTAGCACCCCGAAAACGGCAAGTGCTTCGTAGATGTAACTTTCCACAGAAAAACACGGTTTAATGTTTTTGCTCTCTCGCTGCATTCCATTACATGTGGACGACAGTTTGGATTTCTTTCTATGCACACTTGTATTATTGACTTTGGACAGCATGACATCAGGCAATGACGTAGTGAGAGCTTGATATTCACTGTTGACATCTTCATATGTAATACATAAATCCTTAGCAGTTTGAAAGGTGCAGGAAGGAATCTGAATCAACTCTTTCTCTAACTTAGTAATATTGATTCCAGCAAGTAAGCGATCGAGTAGTTGAGTATGCAGTTGATCTCCAAGGTTACACTTTGAAGCTTGTATCTGAGGCTGAAGAATAAAGTCTCTAATCTTCCGGTTGGGAGCACGAACAAGTTTGTTGAACTAAGCCCTCTCTCGTGTTTTGAAAGTTGTTACGTGGAAGTGATTTGTTAGAAGTTCACGGAGTTTATGACAGAGTTAGTGACAGAGTTTTCACTAGGCTGTACGCATCAAGCCCAATAGCAGTAATAGAATGAGCTGATATGCACCATACGTCGAAACATTCAAGATAATCGGCGACTTCCCGCGGTGAACCATTTATGGGAAATTTTCCAGGATTAATTATTCCATAGCGACGCCAAAATGTTATAATTATTTGTAATAGCAGTATTTGTATTTCGCAATAACCGAATTAAAGAAATTCAACCAAAACACAGAGAGGGATGAATTTAGGAATTTGTATTTGGCGGGATTATTATTCAATTCATATAAGAAATATATTAACAAGCAACAGTAAGTATTTAAACAATACAACACAGCGCGGACGTAGATTCAGTCATATTTATTCAGTTTATATTTTACCTTCGGCTTTTAGGCATTTTTCGTCTTCTATTTCTTTCTTAGTCATTCATTTGTTTTGCAGAAGTCACTGAAACTCAGAAGGCTTAGCAATACAATTCTGTCCCATATATAAGTGTGTTTCTCATATTGCTTCACCATCATTTCCGCTGAATAGGAATCAACCCCCCCCCATCTTATCATGTGTGAGGCCCTGGCGAAGTGCTTCTCATTTTTAATTTCTGTTATTATATGCCACACAGACTGTTTTAAATATTCTTTCGTCAACTGATTCAAAGTAATTCAAAGTTATAATATATTGTTCCGAAAAATGTGACTATACAGGGTTATAGTTATAGAACAGTAAGATAAGATTCATTATTGTTAAAGACTCATCGTGTAATTTATTGTTTTGACTAACACCATTTGTGCCGGAATTCGCGTACAGGGAGACAGTACTTACGTACGACAATAAGCAGTTCCAAGCGACATTTTAGTACCACTCATCTTCGGGTGATTTACCACTGGAACCTCAGACTGAGCCGTCGGCACACTAAAATGCTTATAATACAATAAAATCAAGGGTATATGCAAAAATATTCGATTGAAGAAATAATTCGAATACAAAACTGGGTGTGAATAGGTGACTCGGGTTGTGAAAACAGTTATAGTGAGGGTCAGAGGAGTGCCGTAAAAGGTCTCTTATTTTTAGTTTGTCACATACTGCTTCAAACCCGTAGGGAACAAAATATTTGTCCAGCAGAGATAAGATCTCGGGGGTAGAACCATTTCTAATTTCATTTGGAATATGGTTCCAAATACAGCGGTATTTTGCATCTGAAGCAATTAAATCTGTATTTTGTATGACATCAGGGTACTTTAAAAGATGAAGATTTATTTCTGAGATTATATTTTTTTAGGTGAACCATAAGTGAAGTCATTGTGTGGGAAATATATAAGCCATTTAGCAATCCTGAATGTGAATTTTAGGTTGAACTTCAGTCGTCTGATTCACAAGGGTTCCAAGTCGAATATGTTACAACTTTTCGCGTAAGAAATGCAAAGACTTTCACATACTAGACGTTTAGTGAACGCCTCTTGTAGAC